GTGTGTGTGTGATAGCCATGTTTGATATTGTAAATCTCAGCATATATATTTTTGCGCATCATATAATTGATGAAAAAGTATTACAGCGATTTTCAGCGGCATTTTGTTGTTGCATACTTATGTGCGCAGACAGTAATGCCTTCGTGTGTGCCTTTCATATAGCCTTAGTAAATGGAGCGTAGTGAGTGAATTATATTTAATGCTTTGTGTAATTTAAATATAATAAAACCTCGTACATCTTTTTCTTTTTTATCATATATATGTTTTCCCTCGCCGACAGCCAGAAATAAGTACAAAGTATGCAAACACACCCAGAGACAGTCAGACAAATAATAATTTTACATACTTTGGCAGACATATAACGCAGTCGTAAAATGTATTATGCTTATGCTTTTCCACACAGTTGAGTGTGTTGCGCCAAAGAATATGTCATAATTTTTAAGTGCCGTATGTATGCTAAGTCGTATATATAATATGGATCTTTCATTGACAAACGGTTGGCAAGTAAGTTGATAAACAACTGGAAATAAATTGTATTCATAATTATTTAAGCGGCTTACAAATTAACAATGACCCTTGAAATTGGCACAATCCTATATTTTTTCCATGTTTGCTTTTTTAATTCAAATCCTTGCAAAGCTATCAAAAGATATATAAATTGTAAATGGTTTTAGACTCCATATAGTGAATGTCTCTTGCTAGATTTTCATTCTAAATGAATTCTTTTTAGTTTATTCCACATTTTATTGGCTTTCGAAATGGAACAATGAATGAAACGGTCCTCCAAAAACAATCGGTTAGCCAAAATTTGTTCACCTACAACTTGATTAAAAAACCACAATAACCCCCATACAACACAAATACATATAAAAAAGTCGGAAAACGTGGAAAAAAGAGGTAAAACCCCTCAATGAGCATTGGATTGAGGATTGCGGGTTACACAAAACAGTACCAATATGATGCCACCGACATGTTGTGACAAGGAGGTCAGCCACAGGGTAATTTAAATGAAATGAACAACAAATGCACTCGCACTCGTAAAAGGAAAACAAAGCCATATCCACTCCGCATGCGACATGTGCCGCAAATGTTGGCCAAAAATAAATAGCTGCTGTAAATTCCATTGAGAAACTGGGATACAGTATCGTATATATATTGGCAAGGGGCAACCAGTTGGCCAGTTTGATTCCCGATGATTGGGGTGCCAATACTCGCTTCACATATTGGTCTTCAAATTGCTCATCGACTGTTATAAAAAAAAAAGCGAAGAGAATTGGAAAAACGGATGAAGGGGTCAAGTTTTTATGGCGCTAACAAATTGCTTTTTATAACACAATTTGCGTTGAGAACCAAACAATAATACTCAACCATTTGTTTTCGGCGAGTGAAAGATTACCCGTTTTTCCCCCATTGAAATGGAATGACCCGGTTATAACTTAACAATTTAAAGCTTTTAAAAGATTTATAATAATAAACATTTTAAGCTTTAAATACATTAATATTACAAAGATAAAAAAATGTAAAGAAAAGCACGAATTGTAATCGATTTTTATATAAATTTAGCCGTGTAAAGATAATACAGTGGAAATGCCTGGCAAAATTTTCATTTCGCTGCACACACTTTATCGGACCTTGGCAATGCCATTTTCCTTAGAGCTGCCGGCTGTGTGCTCTTTCTATTATAAATAACAAATCCCTAAATACACCACTCAAAATTCAATTAAAACTCTCGAAGCGCCAGCTCCGGCAGATTTCGTAAGCCCCACAGCCACAAATCCATAGGGGAAATCGGTGTCGGGTGTTTGGGAATGTGATGTTGCCTGGGGGAGAATAACAAAAATCTCCTTTTCTGTTTCGTTTCCCTTCCCCTCCAAAAAAAAGGAGAAGAAACAACAACCATTGAGTGGTTTTGCATTTTTCTGAATTTTTTCTTTTTTAATTTTTTTGTTTTTATAGCAAATATTTATCAACCGTCGTGAGAGGTAAATCGCTGCCTACACTAAGGCAATAAAAATATCGCCATTGGGCATCGTCGTCGACCGGCACTTAGCATAAATTGGAACAATCATTTTCCCTGCTTATCGCCAGTGGACAGAGCTTATTGCCAATAAAAGAAATTAAAATGGAAACGAGAAAATAACACCAGGTTTAGTGGTTTACCGAGGCGAAAGCTCAAACTTTGCTCATTTCTTCGTCAAATTTGGCAAGCTGCAGTTTTTGGGGAAAAGCGAAAAAGGAGTCTTTGGCTAAGTTTTCCAAAAGCTATGTATTTTTGGGTTCCAACAGTTGCACATGTCTGCAGCGGCATACAAATGTCATTAGGGGAGGCAGCAAGCCAAAGAAAAGTTATGGTTGGATTTAGTTAGAGATGAGATCGTGAGTTACTACTGAGTATTATCGTTTATACACTATTCATTTTTGGCAAAAAGCTTGATTTTGATTAAATTAAAAGGTGGATTAATAAATTTTATGATGGATAACTGGATGGCTTGAAGGGTCATAGATTAAATTCCTTTTAAACATTTAATTCAGCCCCCTGTTTAGCACTAGCAACCATCTCTAGCGATTGTCCTTTCCTGTTGGCCAGTTGGCGACGTTGTTTGAGCCATTGCTAGCAGCTGTTTCCCCTGCTGGTTTTTTGTGGGCCTGTTAAGTATGCAGTTTTTTCACCCACAGGGGTCTCTTTGGCCCCTCAAAGCCCCCCTCAGTTCAGAGTGTGCGTGTTAAATGTGTGCGATTTGTCGTGGCAGCTCTTTAATGGCCAATGGGTGGTGGGTGTTGAGTGTCCCGTTATGCTTATGGGTTTTGCATGGCGGCACGTGTGGGGCATGCAGATGGTCGACGACGCAAGAGGGGTGGATGGACTTCCGGGGACTGCTCATTCGGTCCCTGGCCACCGCAAAACTAAAATTGAACAAATTCCTGACAAATTGGAATTTGGTTTAGTTTTTTTTCTCGGCCCTTTCTTGTGCCAGCGAAATTTCCTCACATTTTTCTTGTTTTCCTTTTTGCAGCTTGTTTTTTGTGTGTGTGAGAGTGACTGAGCTCTCTGCTATTGTTTCTACAACATTGCCACGCAAGATTTCCCCACAAATATGCGCTTGGCCATTATGATTATTTCTACATTGCCCGCTCGTCCTCTTGAAAAATGACACTTTACAACACTTGTAATTTGTTCGGTTTTCTAGGAGTTTTTTGTCTCGGAACGGTCAACATGTCCTAGAGTGGGTGGATTATTTGCTTTTTGGGGTCACCAGAAAGAAGAGGAGCTGGAGTCAATGTGTTTTGGTGCTGGCAATTTTGATGTTTTTGAAGAATATAGATATAGGTTTCCTATTGAATTTTTTTAAGTAGCCCTTAACTGAATCAATGCTTTAAAGTTCCCCCTTTTTTGTCATATATTTTGAAAGTCCAACCGGTTTTCCTAATAAACCAATTTGCTATTTAGGGAGTGAGTTTAGTAAGTGTAACTTGATTACCATCATAAGGCCAGCAATCCAGGTGACCGCAATTTAATCAGCGTGCAAACAATCGCTACTCACTGGCCAAAAACAAACCACAAAACCCAAATGTTTATTATTTAGCATTCAAATTAAATTCATTATTTATAGATTTTGGATTAAAACAAAAAGTCACTGCCGAAACGTTTGCAAAAGAACTAATTTGAATTACATCAAATGCTTAAAATCAAAAGAGAAACTAATTTTGGTGGTTATTTAGGGGGGCTGTTGTTAAATTATTAAAATGAATGCAAATTGCATTTCACTCAACCGAAATGTTATGAATTGTCGAAACCCAAATTGATTTTAAACTCATTTGATACTCATAATTAGGTGCAAAAACTACATTTTTAAACTCTGACATTTGGGGTACTTGAGCTTTTGAATTAATTAGCAAACAAAATGAGAAGTTAATAATTAATAACATTAATATAAACTAAATAATATCTATATATATTTACTTCAAAATATTTTAAATATATATATAAAAAAACTTAAGCAGTTACATTGCCATCACCATAACAAAACAAATCCATTATCATCGTTTTGATGTTCGTAGTGCAATGTTAATTTCAACATTTCTAAAAAAGTCACGACTCAAAGCAGTTTTGGAATCGGTCTCTGATGGGCATATACCCATCTCTCTCTGACTGAGCCCACACTTAACTAATTAAAAAACCATATTTAATTTTTCCTAACTGGTGAACTTTTTCCATTCGATCAATAGACCTTAATGAAATCGAATTCGAAAAAGAAGAGAAATAAGAAACTAAAGTGTTAGATATGGGTAGAGTATGGGATATATATCTATATATATAAATGCTGCAACACGTTGTGACCGTTATTATGAACAGACAAGGGGCATTATTAAGTCACGTAGCATCGTGTGTAGCTGTGACATTTTCTTCAATTATCGTACTTATAGTTTCCTTTCGCGTTTTGTTGACTACTTTTCTTACTTTCCTGCTTTTCCTTTACTTGACGTCTTTTTTTCAGCACTTTTTTGCCGTCTTTCGGCTTAAATGAATTGTGGCTAAAATACGTGGTTAGGTCAACTTGATGACTCCGCTGAAGACGAGGCTTAAGCAATATTAGAGGTCATGGGGTGAAGTGCTCTTGGCTTGTCCATAACTAGTGGGGTTTCTTTCAGAAATTTTTATAGTTTTACTAATAAATGGTTTAAATTTAAATCAAAATAAAGTTCTTTCTAACGTAACTAAGTTAATATATCAAATAATTTTAAAGTTTTAATGATTACAAGCTTTAAATTTTTCGCGTTTGGGTAGCTTAATCTAAGAACAATAATTTAAATGGCATTTCTAAACAAATATAGCCACCAAACCAAGTTCAAGTTGAAAAATTAGGTATATATCTCAAAGCATATTGAAGACCATTAAAAATTTGAACACGCGCTGGTTATAAAACAAATAAACCATTTATGTCAAATCAAAATTTACGAATATTTTAGTCAGTGAGCGTTGTTTGCGTTGCGAGTGCGGATCGTCAGCGGATTAATTGTGAAAATAGTGAAACATCTGAAAAGCCTAGTGGTACAAAAATTAAAATCACATACCTTTGGACTTTTTGTTCAAAATTTATAGCCTAAAATGCTGTTCCTCACCGCCCGAGTCGATCACACGGCGGAGCAGATCTTCAAAATCAAGCAACTCAGGCAACTGGTGGAAAGTAAGCAAAAAAGCTGCATTAATAAGTGAGAAAATAACTTTAAAAAACATAAAAAATAAACACTTTTAGAGTGCGAGGATCTAAGAGTTGGCACAGAGGACACCCTGCTGACCAAGTTCCTGCATTACACACGTTGGGATACAATCAAGGCCTACCAGGCCATCCATGCCTACTATGACTTCAAGAGGCGTCATCCCACCTGGGTGGCCCGCCATCCCATCGAGCACTACCGTCAGCTGTTTTATGGCACCCACTGTCGCTATGTAATGCCCCAGGTGGATCGCAATGGACGGGTTCTGGTCATCTTTAAGACGGTGGATGGGTTCCAGACCTATCCTGACTATCTGCAGAGTCTCGTCGAGATGGACGATTTGATCTTTGAGTCCCTTTTACTTTTGCCCCGAGTCCAGGAAAACGGCATCACGGTCATCTGCGATCTCCAAGGGTGGGTCAAATAATATTAAGAAAACTTAGAGAAGTCCAAAGATTTAGTTCCTTCCTAAACTAAAAACATAAATATTAATTTTTAGGATGATATTAATATATTTTCAAGTTTTTTAAAGTTTTTATTTATGTTTTTCTCAGAACAACGAGGAATTTTTTGCGACAGTTTTCGCCAGCTTTTATGAAGGTGGTAAACGAGAAAAACGGAGTCCTGCCCTTTAGCCAGCGAATTGTCCACATTATCCAGCGAGGATTCCTGATGCACGTGACCTCCACGCTTTTTATGCCCTTCATGAACAAGGAATTTAAGGAAAGGGTACGAACTTTTCATTGAATGAATTTGAATTGATAAATATTAATAGATTTTCTTTGAAGATCTTCACTCACGATGGACGCCAATTGAGTAAACTGCGTGAAATGGTTGGCTATGAAAGTTTGCCGGCGGAATATGGAGGTCCTGCCACAAATGTTCTGGACACGAATTTGATTTTCAATCATTTAAGTCAAAACGCAGAGTACCTGCAAAAGCTGCAGACTTATGGGAAGCTATAGTGAAATATAAGAACATATTTTGTTGACTATTTAATCAGGATTTTGCACATCAACTAAATATATTACTTAATTTTATACCAAACTTTAAAATGTTTTTGAAAATAACGCTTAGAAATGATGTGGTTGGCAACGCGGTTTTCAAACTATCGATAAGCGACTTAACTAGCTACTGCTAACAATTTGTATCCCGCGCGATTTAGTTTTGCATCAATTAGCTTTTGAAAGGCATTCTGGGTAAGAAAATAATATTACCAAACTATAACTATTTAAATGTTAAATGTATACCAGCAACAAAAATATAGCGTTTGTTTTAAAGCCCAAAAAAGGTTTTATTTATTGCAATTAAATATTAGTAAAATGTCATTTATTTCCTTACATGTAAAATATTTGTTAGATTTTTATGTTATCGGTGAAAAGGTCATACTATTGTGAAATTTCTACGCAGGCTCGTAATTTAAAAAATTGCGAATATTTTATTAAGAAACGTGTATAATGGCTTCTAATAAGGTTGGTTAACCATTAAAAGGTCAAAAAAAAAAAACTTAACTATTTAGTTTGCTTCTCAGGAATGCCTTGTAATAGTTCTGGACGTGCGAACGTGTGCCGCTGAAGAAGTCAAACTGAAAGCCGCAAAATGTGTGGCGGAGATTCTTAAGGATAAGGTTGGTCATCACCTTTAGAATGCAAAGAAATGTGCTAATTTAATAACCCACAGATTGTGTGCGATAAAAAAGACTACGTATCCTTCGTCCTCGTGGGATGCGACACCGGTTCTGAAGAAGAAGAGGATGAAAACCACCCAAATGTAGTCCAATTCGGAGATCCCAGACTTTGCAGTTGGCAGCTCTTGTTGGAATTCTTTGATTTTGTAAATAAAACTGCCTGCGAAGAAGGACAATGGTTAGATGGTCTTCAGGCGGCATTAGATCTCCAGGAAACCGGACTCATGTAGGTGTTCGTTTTCCATTAAACCACTCGATTTCTTTAATTGTGTTTTGCAGTTTTAAGCCCGCTCGGCGAAGGATTCTGTTGCTCTTCGATTTCAATGACTTCCCGCAGGACTACCAACGATTCAAACAAATCACTGATAGAATGCTCGATGAGAAAATTGATTTGATTGTGGGGTAAGCAGTCCAATTATCTACATTTCTTATATTATTAATATTATTCTTAACCTACAGCACGACAAATATAGCATACAAAGACAATGTCGAGACTGATCAGCCACAGGCTATCTTTAACTTCTCGCGAAAATGTGGCTCCGAAGAGCTAGAGAACCAGAAGCGCGTTCTCAGCCTCGTACCCCTCTGCAATGCCACATTGTGCAGCTTCAAAGAGGCACTGCTCACCGTTTTTAAGGTAACCAACCGACGACCCTGGGTGTGGAACGCCAAGCTGCGAATCGGCAGCCATATCAGCATTAGTCTGCAGGGCATGATCGCCATGAAGAACCAAACGCCCGTAAAACTGACAAAGGTATGGGCAGAAAAGGATGAGACTGTGGCACGGGAGACTCGGCACTTTATTAAGGGCACCGAGATAACTCCTCTCCCGGAGGATCTGGTATCCGGTTACATGCTCGGTGGGACTCCGGTACCCTATGACGACGTCCTGATACAGCCCAAGGAACCGCATCCACATGGCTTGCATTTCTATGGGTTCATCAAGAAAAATGCAGTGCCCGATGAATACTTTTGTGGCGATTCCTTGTACCTTTTAGTTCACCAAAAGGGTAACAAATCCGCCGCCGTCAAATTAGACGCTCTGGTGCGTGCCCTTATTTCCTCAGATCGAGCCATCCTTTGCTGGAAGATATTCAGCTTGAAGTTTAATAGACCCCAAATAGTAGTACTTCTGCCCCGTCTAGCAGACGATACCCATCCGGCTTCTCTTTATATGTTGGAGGTGTCATATACCGCTCAGCATCATTTCTGGGATTTTCCCGCTTTGCGAACCACCAAGACAGAGTGCAGCGAGGACCAGCTGGAGGCCATTGACCAACTTATCGATAGTACTGATCTAGAATGCTCCTTGAAAGACACACAGCAGCCACGTCCATGGGCCCAAAACGATCTCCTGCCCTTCGACGCGTTGCCCAGCATCTTTGAGCAAAATGTAATGGACGTCCTAGAGCGAAAAGTTATTCAGAACAAGGACAAGGATAATATAGTACTAAAGGACAAGAACTTCTCGGATGTTTTCTGGCGAGTACCAGAGCCGCTAGAGGAAAAGTCCAAGAAAGCGGCGGCCAATGTAAAGAAGCTCTTCCCACTGCGCTATGATCGCGCCTGGCAGGAGAAACAACAGGCCAAGGAGGAAGCGGAGAATAGTATTCCCGTCAAGCAAGAGAAGCAGCCAGAGAAGGAAATCCCGATACCATCGGACGGCGTAGGCTTATCCAATCCGTCCGCAGATTTTACTCGCATCCTAGAAAGTGTAAGCTCCAATACGAATGCCTCTAAGCGGGAGGCCCGCTATCAGGCTCTGGCAGCCGACACCCGCGTGGTCATCATTACTCTGCTTGATCGCAAAAAACTTAACATTGAACAGTTGGGCGAGATCATCACCCTGTACCGAGAGAGCTGCATGGAATTTGATACCGTTCAGGAATACGAGAAGTTTGCTAAGGAGCTGAGAAAGATCGCAGTAGCCAAAAACCTCCGCGGTTTTTGGCAGGATGTCATGGTGGACAAACAATTGGGGCCTTTAGTGGAGGACGAACTCACGCTTGATGACGAATTAGCCCTAAAAGCGTACTATGCCATCGAGACCTGGCAGGAAAACGAGTCCATCGATGATGAAGACTTGGTGATTTAATTTAAGAAAATTTGTTATCCTTTTCAGTGGAAATAAAATTGTTATAATGTGGCAATTTCAATTAGATTTCCGGAAAACAGAAAAGTATGCTTATAAAATTTTGCGCGGCTCTCTTGCTCACGTTTGTTTGGGTAATTTCAACCACTTTACTATCTGGTCACACTTATCTAGCAGCTGATTGTAGACAGCGTTCGTAGAGAATATTTTAAATTAATTTTATGAGCTTACTGTACCAAGCTGTCCTGGTTTGTATTGAGGATTAACCATGGGCGTACCTACAAGCGATTGGCTTTATTGGTGCCGCCTGTGCGCTCGCGATGATGTTGTTTACAAAGTTCGCCAGCGGGACGAAAGTCTGGTGAGGATCATTAACAAATGCTTCAATGTGAAGGTAAGTAATACTATTTCCTGTCATCCAAATATGTAAAATTAATATGTCTCACTATCCCTATAACCGCAGATAATCCTCGAGGAACCTGAGCTAAGCAGCATGTTGTGCGAAGAGTGTTTTTCTGTGATTGGTCAGCTACTCACCTTTTCTGAGAGCGTAGAAAAGGTCCAGGGTATTTTCGAGTTACTTCGACATTCGGAACCGCTAGACAGCCAGGACTTGGACGAACTGCGGCAAGATTACGGACTCCCGCCGACGTGTAAACAGGAGCTGGAGTTCCTGGAAATTGATGATCAGGAGGACAAGTATTCCTTGGAGGAGTTAGAGATATCCGACCATTCCACATTACTGTCACCGGATGCCCAGACGAATAGCGTTCCCATGCAAAACAATTCCACAAAATCTAAAAGGCAACTTGAAGAAGAATACCTGTCGGATCAATCCAGTGCGCCATCAACTAATATCCAATCCACACACAGTCGAACGGCAAAAAAACGTAGGGCATCCGACTATGAGTTGGAGGAATATGGTTTGCACGATGACGAATTAGTTTTGACAGAGGATAAGACCACATCTATACAACCAGAGAAAAGAAAACGAGGAAGACCCAAAGGATCAGGCAACAAACAACCGCGTCTGGACGATAGCAAGAATCTAAGTACCCGCAAAGCGAATAGCATTGATAAAGTTAAACCACAGGACAAGACATCGAAGTACAGTTTGTCGCCTCAAGATGGCTCCCAGAGCTCTTCCATTGCCGATTTTTCGTGCAAGGCCTGCAATGAGTCCTTTATGTCCTTCATGGCTCTGCGCCGACACAGGCACGACATGCACGGTGGCCCCAAGAAATTCGTCTGTGACAGCTGTGGGAAAGGCTTAAAGACCTTCACATCGCTGGTTGAGCACAAGCTAGTTCACACGGATGAGAAACCCTGTGTATGTCCCGTGTGCAATGCGGCTTTCAAAAACAAGGCCAGACTTAGGGTAGGATAAGAGTATAAACAGTTACTGAATAATGTAAAATGCTCATATTCTCCAGGTGCACAGCCAGACGCATGGAGACCCCAAGTTTAAATGTAACATATGCGGAAAGATGCTTCAGACACGTGCAATTCTCAACAAGCATAAGTATGTTCACACCGAGGAGCGACGCTTCAAGTGCGAGATTTGCGGCAATGGATGCAAGAACTCTACGGCCCTGAAGATCCACCTCCTTGGGCACACAGGTCTTAGACCCTATGTATGCAAATACTGTGGAAAGGCATTTGCCAGTAACACCAATTGCCGATCGCACAAATGGAAGAAGCATCCGGAGGAGGCGGCCAATGAGGATGAAAGCGAATCTTCACGTGTGGCAGTTCCCACATTGGAGGAACTTCGAGCCATGTAAGCATAAGGACCTTCTTAGCCATATAAAGTTAAGTTAGTTATTTATCCCTTTAACTTACTATTTTTCCTTTCAGCACCCGGGAAATGGCGAAATCCAGGAAGGAAACATAGAGCATGAAAGTTCAGTTGATGTACACTTCCATTTTAAGTTTTTTTCTCATCGTTACATGTAAAATAAATTGAAATTTAAGAAATCTTTTTTCTCAATCATCGTAAAGGATTGGCCTTTTAACCGAAATAAAATTCATTTCATTTTGTTTTCCAATTAAGTTTGGTTTAATTAATTTCAAAATACATTTACAATTTCAACGCACACTAGAAATGGGGAATGAATATATTAATAGTCTGCGCCACAATGTGGTGCAAAATTAGTGAGCAATTAAAAAAAAAAATTAAGTGATAAAATTATAAAATAAACAAGAGTAAACTCTTTGCTTAAGGAACAACTAAAAATGTACAAATTAAGTAATTTGTGAGTGTGGATTAAATATCTAAATACGTTTTGATTTCGATGGTTTTTGTATAATTATTTTTTGTTTAGTTTAACACGTTGAGAAGCAAAAACTTTTGGCATGGCCTTCCGAGCAGAGCGATGAGTCAATAAATAGTGCATCCAAGTATGTACGTGCGCCTTTGAACATTCCTCCTGTTTCGCTTCTAGTCAATGTTAAGGGAGGACATCAACTCCTCGACTCTATATGATAAAGTAAGGAAAATAGTGATTTGTTAATAAACAAGGAATATTGTGAGGCTGCTGTCAGTTAGGCACGAATGTTTACACTGGCACGCACGTGATATCTATGTCCTGAAAGGCCACGCCCAGCCAGGCCACCACAAGGCAGTAATGCTGGAACAACTGCAGTAAAAGTTCGCCCTCGTCCAGCATCTCTAATCGCTCGATACGCTGCCGTTCTGCTGCCGAGATGCTCTCGTACACCTGCACCATATCCCATGCCCGAGCGCCAGTCCAGCCGGTTTCCTGAAAGCGGTTCCGCTGCGTCTCCAACGATAGGCAGGACTCGACACCAGCCAAGCTGCAGCCGCGACCACGGAGGTTGTTAAGCATCACCTCTCCGAAGCGGTCGTTCATGTTCACCTGAAAATATAGCGATTTTATATCTAAAATTTTAAACATTGATCATTCATCACCGTACCTGTTCGTAGTTGACAAATACAGCGGCCTGGAACTTTTGCGCGATCCACTTAAGCAGATTCTGACAGTTCTGTGCCTCGATGTAGACGAGAACGCACTCAGCGAGGAATATGGTGGGCAGGGAGTAATCGACTTCAGCCTGCTGCAGCTTGTTGTCCACCTCGTCTAGGTTTCGAAGGTCGACACCCATCAGGTGATAGCTGGGCCCATGGAGATCTGTGGGGCTCAGCCGCACCTCTCCATCCTCGTCATGAATTCTGGCTAGCAGGGCCTTGTTCCGCTTAATTGTATAGCACTTGCGGGCGGTTACTGTGGGAAAGTCGAGCTCGATGAAGTTCTTCACTTGGTGGGCGGTGTCCCTTAGACGGAAGTAGAGTGTGTCGAAGCCGCAGCCTAAATTGATGATCTGGCAGTTGCCCGAGGTTTTCTGTGTGGGAGATGGGTGGGAAACGGTTAGGGCAAGGTCAGCTTAGCCAGGACATGCGCATGGCGGTCATAACGAGCGTGGCCTTGCTGCAGAAATGCAACAGGATGACCTTGGCACGTGCCAGACAGTTGGGAGCCACCGCAGATGTACTGACCTTCAGAAACTTCTCGACGCACATCTCCACGCCCTTGACCCGGGCAAAGTAGCCGCGATTGATCTCCGGCGCCTTCCGCTCCTGGTTGCGTACAAAATAGCCGATGTAGTCATCCTTCCAGTATCCCAAACGCACCGCACATCTCTTGCAATCGCTAGCATCGTCGTTGGTGGCTATTACCGCCTCATCGCACGGATGGAACTTGTGCGTCGGGCCGGCGGATGCTATTCCGCCCGGCGCTGGCGGCTCCATGGCTCTCCTGCGGATCTGTTCGGCTGTTGCAATTGGGATCCTTAGGTACAATCAGCTCTTAAAGCAGCCAGAAATTGTGATTTGTCCGGTTTTTTTCTCACTTGAAAACAGCCGGAAAATAGTGTGGCCGTAGATGAGTCACCAAAATAAACCACAGTAATGGAATATACCATTTTTAAGTATACCATGAATAAAAATCAATTAGAAAATACATTTTTGTAGAAACTACATATAAATTCTCCAAATTGTATTTATTATGCCAACATTTTTTAAGCTAAATAACTTTAACTATACGTAAGACTACATCTTATAGATATACCTCATAAATATCCCATAATTATATATGCTTAAAATGTTTAAGTTTTGTTTTTTTTTTCAGTTTAAATTTTTTGGTTGGGGAAATCCCCTTAACTCCTATGAACATATTTCATTTCCGAACGTACACATTTTACCGTAACTAGCTTACTGTTTATTTGGCTCCTAAGTAGCTTAACTGCAGTTTTCCTTCAGCCTAATTGACTTAAGCACTTCATTAATAAAGAAAGGGTCAACTTTGTAAACAAAGCGTGTCCATGTTCAAGTGCTTTAATTGCTTCCCGCATCTTTGACATCGGAAGCTGTGCCGCTCGGTTGGGCTATAATTAAAATTAGCAGCTACGCCCAACAACCCGCTCAATAAGCCGGGGTCAAAATGTGAACCGATCGCCAATTGGTTTCGCGCTGTGGAGCTCAAAGCGTGAATCACAACCCATCCATCCATCGTCTGGCCTGCGTCCTATATAATAGAATTTAATTAGAAATTATGCAAAATCGTTTTCCGTTTTGTCATGCAAAGACAACTCATTACAACGTTATCCACAACGGATGTCGAAATTCAAAACGGTTCTTTTCAAATTAAGAAACTTCAATTTGTTCAGACTTATGAAGTAATTTCTTACAACTTAGACCATAAACAATTTTAATTTCAAATGATTTTTGTTTATGATAATGAAACGTGATAAAACGTATCCTAATTTATAACATTTTTAAATCTACTATATTTCTGTTTTGGTTTTAAATAATTTTGTAGAATTTTCTATTGCAATTTATAACTCGACTTTTAAATTGACTTTGAAAAAAATGGTAATAATCGAAAATGCTTAAAATTTAGTTTTTTTTAATATTTTTAAAATTATTTGTAGTTAATGTTAAATAAATACTGTTTTTAAGGCCCTGATATGTATTAAAAAAAATTTATCAATGAAGTTAAAAAAGAAAAATCCAATAGGAACCATATACGCTATATAAGTTATTATCCAATAACATTAAAACCTTTTTAACATATAACTAACGCAATTTTAACAGAATAACCAATCTAATGGTGGTTTTCCACAATTTTGTTATTATTTTAAAAGCCCCTCTTAGAGAGCGCCGGTCGATCTGTTCTTCGGCTTCGGCCCTGTTCCTCCAGCACCCACGCCAAGTCACGTTCCGCTCCTGCTTAGCTGACTCAAGACTGAGAGCCCATGGTACTCTCTTTCGATTCGGGTTTGGTCCGTAGTCAGTTCATCGGCAACGCTCGAAAGCATCGGTTGTGGTTGCGTTTGTTGCGCACAGGTGAGAGTGAGCAACGCAGGAGCGTTCAAAGTTGCGCGCGCCCAATACATCGAAACGAATCGGTACGGCCAGGTGTATCTGTGTACCAGTGTGTGTGTGTGAATCGTTGGTAACAACAGCCGGCGCACCTGAGTGTGAGTGTTAACTGAGTTTCGTTCTTTGGTGTGCGTGAGACGTCATTACGACGCTTACCTGGTTTACCTGAGTCTGTGACTCGAAAACGGTCATTTCAGCTGCGTTACGTTTTTTCTCGTTTCCAGTCGGTTTTGGATTTGGTTAGTGCTGAATGGTTTTTCATTTTTTTTTTAACTTACCTTTTTCGGGGCGTTGGCCAAGAAAGTTATTGTGAGTAAGAAAAGAAAAAAAACATTGAAACGAAAATGCGAATGGTAATGGTAGGAAAATCGCGATTAGATAGTGAAATGACGGATAGAAGCCGCAACAAGTTGCCACGGCAGCGTCATCAATTGGAGCATAACTGTAAAAACAGTGAGATTAAGCTGCACTGAAAGAAATAGTAGTGAAATGGTTAAAACCTACTGAAAAGCTGTTTTCCAAGGCACAAAACAACGCAAACAACATAAACAATTGTTGCTCAAAGAAAGGTTAAAAGATAAAGAAGTGCAATTCTTATAAATATTTGTAATTAATATGAATAACATAGTGAGTTATATAATAACTGATATACAAATTTAAAACTTTTAAGATCCGAAAAAAACATTCAATTTCAAGTTTTAAAAATATTTAAAAAAAGTTTTTTGGAAAAAACATAAAAATATATTTAATTTTTTCCTGTGCACAACAACAACACCTGTGTAGTGGGCCAACACACACATAGACACACTGTCAGCTACAAAGATAGGCACTCACACAGGCGCACCTGCGCTTCACTTTCAGCGTTATCGTTGCGTTTATTTTATTGTTTGCTTTGGTGATTGCGAAAAAAGCAAAACTTCTACAAATGATTCATCCGCTGACAACAATAACAAATGCTAACAAAATTTCGACATGAAATTCGATATGAAAACTCCCATATGAATTTTGTTAACAAAATATAGCTCTTTTTTTGTATTTTTTGTGCAGGCGTTTGCACTTCCGTAATTTTAATAGAAACCCTTCGAAGGGTTGAGCCATCGAATAGCCGGGTAACTTGAGGCCTTCACAAGCAGGTTAATGCACCCGTATCTGTGTGAGTCCTTGTGCCACATTCAATGCACCCCCAGTCAGTAAAATAGCACCATCCAGGCCTTGATCTTGGGCATATATACTTTTTAATATATATATATTATATTATATTTAATATATACACTTAATAGAAGAACAAATACAATTTTGACTTTAGTAAATCGTTTAATCTTGTATATCACTTACTTTTTTATTTACTCTAAAATTGTCAAAATGGAGAAGATTATTACTATCTTTTTAACCCATGCTGTACACCTGGGTACATAATGCAACCAGGGTAACGACATTTATGTTGCATCGATTTGCCAATCAAATGCCAAGAGCGAAATTCAAATTGAACCGCTTTTGGCGTAGCCAGGTGTCTTTCTCTCATTTTGTTTATTTTGTTGCATTTTCACACGTACAAGGGGATGAATTGACCGGAAATACCTGCCACAAAAATATTATTAAGTGAATTATTCCGTTATTTCTTATCGACTTTTTTCAATAAGATTTTAATTGCTAAATAGTTCCCTTTGTGTCTATGAAGAATTCTGAAAGGTATGGTCTTAATAAATATTGGCTTCTCACTAAGCCAATGTTTACATAAAGTCAAACAAACTTATACAATCCATTACATAATAAAATCAATCGGCTAACAATTTCTTAAACAATTTACTCTGCCACACACCATTTCCCAACTTAAACCAATTTAAAGCGATGACCTTTCTCCATTATCTGTGCAATTAACCCATTGACGCCGTTCCAAGCACCCAGACGAAGCACGTAATAGTCAGTGTAAGGGGTCTCTCCATTCGACTCCACTTTGAAGTCGCACTTCATGCTGTAACTTATTTTTAGCGCATTTTTTCGAGTCAGCACTCAAACGGGTTTGTCGGTCTCTCGGCCTCTTCTAATACCCAAGTGCCAAGAAAATTGAGCCAACAACGTAATGGAAAACCAGTTTGGTCACTCTTACTCGAACTCCAAGCTAAGATTTGTTTTTATTCTGTTTGTTTATACTTTTATGGAATTGAGCGTTTGTTTTCAGAGGCCGATCATAAAAGTAATCTGAAACATTTTATGATATTTTTAAATTAATGGGTTTATTTCAGAGCTCTGAAGCTCTAAAATAAATATTAACACTTTCTTTGAAGTTATTATTTTGTAACCCAAAGTAATTTAATTTTTTTCTAGATCACTATGATGCACAAATTAAAATATCGTGATAAATTAAAATGGCTCTTAGCCTTTTTCCTGGTAGTCTGTTTTGCACAAATCGAGGCCCAGACAAGGGATCCCAGATTTTACTCACGCCCAGGAGTTGACTATCATTGGCCAAATCCCGGTGATCCAGATTACAGGTGAGTCATAATTTGAGTTCGACTTATCAATTTTTGCACTAATAGTTATCTATTTACAGAACTTACACGTTCAACGATCGTCGATATGGTCATTATCAGCCAAATGGTTTCGGAGCCAACTATCCAGGTAGAAACCCGCCGGGACAATATCCCCAGGGAATGCCAAACGAGGACCGTTTCCGTTTCGATCCGGTAAGTAAATGATAATAATAAATGATTAGTTATTACTAAAATAGTAATAGGAATCAGAATTTTATTGCGTTTATATACTGAAACGATATTTACCCCCAACGCAATATTTTTAGAATAAGTATTAACAATAATTGGATAACAAATTCTCAATGGAACTTTTTTTACGGTATCTCAACTCGCGCTTAATCAATTAAATTCTGTGACACAAAAAACTGACCCCTATACGAAAGAACCGAACCGATTATGGTCCATAAATGAACAATGCCAAGTCATTGAGAGAGGGAGTTCGTCCGATCATAAGATCGTTCCAATATCAAAGTAATAATCTTAATTAAGTTTTCATGCCACCGGGTGAAGCCAAAAGGCGACTTAATCAATTACACATGTCGCCCAGTCACTGATCGGATCACAGAGTCTCTATTTGTTCATCCATGAGAAATGGGGCTAATGATGGTCTCAATTTCTTTTACTCCAATCGCAGAACGACCCGAATGCGCGGACCCAGTTTCCGGGAGTTTTGGCCGGCTGGCGAGAGGATTTACAGGGCAAGCAGCGTCGGGATTCGTTGACCCTGGAACGGGATGTTTTTGTGACCACCAACTATGGCCAGGTGCAGGGCTTTAAGGTGTACATGTACGACAATCCCGATCCCAAATCTTTCTATCGTCCCTTCCATTCAACCGTGGATCGTGTAATGGGCGAGTGTTCGGTCTTCCTCGGAATTCCCTATGCCCTGCCACCCACCTTTGAGGGTCGATTCAAGCCGCCACGCATACATCGAGGATGGCAGTTGCTACAGGCCGTCGACTTTGGGCCTGCGTGTCCTCAACCTGTCCGTTATACAGGTGCCACCAAGGGAGTCACGGACATGGACGAGGATTGTCTCTACTTGAATGTATATTCACCGAGGGTAAGTCTTTGATCAGATCAACTCGTTTATTAAAGATCCGCTAATAATAAATTCTCTATGCTTTTTTCTCACTTTCAAGACTGGAGCTGGCGTGGCACAGAAATATCCAGTGATGGTGTACATCCATGGGGGAGAGTTCATCCGGGGAGCCTCCAACTTGTTCCAGGGCCATGTTATGGCCTCATTTTACGATGTGGTGGTGGTGACTCTGAATTATCGCCTGGGTGCCCTGGGATTCCTTTCCACGGGTGATGAGAACTCACCCGGAAACTACGGCATTTTGGATCAGGCTATGGCTTTGCGTTGGGTACATGACAACATCGAATTCTTCAATGGAGATCGAGACTCCATAACTCTCTTTGGTCCTGGAGCAGGTGGGGCCTCAGCCGGTCTCCTGATGGTGGCACCACAGACAAGGAACATTGTGAGAAGGGTGATCGCCCAGTCGGGATCAGCTCTAGCAGATTGGGCTTTGATCCAGGACAAATACAGGGCGCAAAACACCAGTCGTGTTCTGGGACAGCTTTTGGGCTGCTCTCTAGAGTCCTCGTGGAAACTGGTCAATTGCTTGAGGACTGGACGTAGTTTCTATGAGCTGGGAAACGCTGAATTCGCCCCCCAGGTTGGCAGCTTCCCCTGGGGTCCGGTTCTGGACCACAATTTCACGCTGCCCGGCGATGATTGGTACGAAGGATGGCGGGAAAAAGATTGGCGCTTCCTCACCCAAACGCCGGAGACCCTGATTCGCGCCGGAAAGTTCAATCGAAATATCCAGTATATGACTGGAGTAACGACACAGGAAGCTGCTTTCATCGTGGCCCAAAACGAATCCCTAAGTCCTTATTATGAGCTGGATGGACGCTTCTTTGACCAGAAGATACGTGAGCACGTCTTCCGGTATAATTACACCCTGAATCCTAACGGAGTTTATGAAGCCATCAAGTACATGTACACATTCTGGCCGGATCCCAACAACAATACGATAATCCGGGATCAGTACATCAATATGCTAAGTGATTTGTATTACCGGGCACCGGTAGACCAGATGGTCAAGCTGATGCTCGAGCAGAAGGTTCCAGTTTACATGTATGTCCTGAACACAACCGTGGAGGCACTTAATCTGCCTCAGTGGCGAAAGTATCCACACGACACCGAAAGATACTTCCTCACAGGAGCTCCCTTCCTCGACACAGAGTTCTTCCCCAAGAAGGACCACTTGCAGCGTAACATGTGGACGGACAACGATCGCAACATGAGCCACTTCTTCATGCAGACCTACACGAACTTTGCCAGATATGGGTGAGTCACTACTATAATCATTATTACCATAAAACTAGATCTCTTATGTATATTTATATTCCAGCAATCCGACGCCCCAACAGGTGCTGGGCATGCACTTCCAACGGGCTTATCAGGGGGAGATCCGTTACCTGAACATCAACACCACGTACAACTCCTCCATCCTGCTTAACTATCGGCAGACTGAGTGTGCCTTCTGGACACAGTACCTGCCCACTGTGATAGGTGTACTGGTGCCGACATATCCACCAACCACAGAGTACTGGTGGGAGCCCAAGGAACCACTTCAGATCGCCTTCTGGAGCATGTCGGTTACCTGTTTCTTCCTCATAGTTTTGGTGGTCATTTGTTGCATCATGTGGCGCAATGCCAAGCGGTGAGACTGGAATGGCTTTAGTATTGATCTATAATCTATCTAACCTTTTCCTAAATCCAAAGACAATCGGATCGCTTCTATGACGAAGATGTCTTTATCAATGGTGAGGGTTTGGAACCTGAACCAGATACTCGGGGAGTGGACAATGCCCATATGGTGACAAACCACCATGCGCTTCGATCCAGGGATAACATCTATGAATACCGAGACTCGCCCTCCTCTAAAACGCTGGCTAGCAAAGCGCACACGGACACAACTTCCTTGCGTTCACCAAGTTCACTGGCCATGACCCAGAAATCCAGTAGCCAGGCTTCCCTGAAATCTGGGATCTCTCTGAAGGAGACCAATGGTCATTTGGTAAAGCCTAATGAGCGGGCAGTCACACCACGTTCCCAAACGAATGGATCAACGGCAAAGGTGGCGGCTCCCGTCGAGGAGAAGCGTCTTCTGCAGCCATTGTCCAGCACGCCGGTGACACAGTTACAGGCAGAGCCGGCTAAAAGAGTTCCAACCGCTGCAGCCAGTGTCTCGGGCAGCAGTCGGAGCACCACTCCGGTGCCCACCGCCCGCAGTACCACCCACACGACAACGGCCACATTAAGTTCTCAGCCAGCAGCTCAGCCCAGACGAACCCAACTGGTAGAGGGAGTGCCACAAACATCCGTCTAAGTAACCGCTCTCTAAGCGCGGGATGCGCTTAGGGAGTCAGCCGAATCGTCCAATTACAGAGCCCGTTAAAGATCCCAGAAGGAAAGGAACAGGTAGGTGTTGGTTTTTATTTTTATAATTAAGTTAACCTTTTCAATTATCTTACAGGTTTACCTGGGATTTCAATTACTTTAAGCTAGTTATTTTCGTAAAATAATGTAATTTTAGTTCTTGTATTTATAATACGTTCTTGAACAGATCTTTGAGATCTCAGTTTTGAGTTGTAGTCTATACAAACCTATATTCTTAATGTTATTTTAAGAATATTTGTTCGTAAGTTTGATAACCCAACGAATACAAATCCATATCAATCACATTCCAGCCTTATAACCGGCCTCTAAGTGTACATATAAAAATATAATGAAGTAGAAATATTTAAAATATATTTAAATTTGTCACTTTAAAGAGATTAGATAGATAGAAATTACATAATAGTATATATGCAAATGGACAAGAGATGTTCAAATAAGCTTGTATTGTATCCCTTGTATTTAGTTTTTGAATGTTTAAATATCAAGTTAGAACAAAAAACAAATGGTAAATCTATATACAGATTTAATTTTAATAAATCAAAGTAAAAAACTAAATAATTCGAAATATTGAATTAATAACTAACTGTCACGTCCTTAATCATAAGACCATTAGTTTTACCCACTCCCATACATCATCAAGAGCAATACCTGCAGTGCCTTCATTTATTGTAATTGTCTTTGATGGATCCATTACTAGTTCTTAACGAACGGTGCCTTATCCATGTACCAACTAAGTGTGCCTTTCATATGAATAGATGTACTTCTAGTTATGTATTTTTATATGTTTTATGTGTCGCATATAAGCAAAAAATGACCATAAAAAATCAGTGTGAACCGTCCAATAATTTTATGTTTTCATCAGTATCGTGTACATTTATTTCTTGTATATATCTTCATTTGTTACATGCTTTTGAAAACATAATGTATTAACACTTTTATATTTAATGTTTAAATGTTTAATCTTAATGTATTTGTCCCCAAATAAAAAGTTATTAATGTAATCAATGTTTTGTGCTTTTTGATTTTTAATAGAAAGTTAAAGAAAACAAATCTTCATAATAAGTAAATGTAAATGTAAAGGAAGTGTTGGTTACCCAAGGTCTCATTTATTGTATAAACATAAAAAATCTACAAAAGAAACTTGCATTGTCTTAATTTAAGATTAGTTCTCAGTTTCAAATGATTAAGAAATTTCATCCATTTCATTATGGAATTCAATATTACTTCTAAAATAATAAAAGGAAAAAGAATTTTAAAGGAGCTTAGAATAGGTTTCCTAAAATCTTACAGATACAGCGAGGCAGCAAAGACAATGTCGCGCTTGAGCAGTCTAATGCCTTCGGAGAACTTGTTTTCCAGATCCGTGTTGCCAATGGTTTTCGAGGCCTGGCACATTTGACGGAGCAGCTCCTCAAGGCGGCGCATGCACCGAATAATGGAGCCCTCGAAAATGTCGGTCATCTTGCAAACGGAGAGGAAACTAGAACCCTTACACCAGGCCAGCACCACGTCCATGAGAAAGGGCTTAAATTTATCAACATACGTATCTGCGTCTAAATCTAGTTTACATTCTGTCGACACCTTAGCGATGCGCCGCGCAAGATCTTGCATGGATCGCAAAGGTCCCGATAGCTCCGAGGCACTTTTTGGTGACTCGCTAGACTTCTCGTCGCACACAAAGCAGGACAGCAAAGACACAGCTTGCGGCGCGGTAAGCTCATTGAACACTCCATTGAAGATCATCTCGGTCATCAAAAGTTCATCCGCTGAGCTCAGTTCACAAGCCACGCGACCCTTAAACTCAATAACGTCGCCCGGCTTGCAATAACCCATCCGACGAAGTACACGCTTGCGATGCTTCAACTCGTCCATTTGTAGAAGACTCCGGGCGGCCTTGAGCTCCGCCTTTAGTTCTTGGAGTTCCGTCTGCAACTTGACTTTGTCCTGATAGCGCCGGTGAATGCGCTCCAGCTCCGGGGACTTGTGCAGAGGATGTTCCTCCAGCCGCGTCTCAAATTGCGCTATCGTATCGACAATGTCGCGGAATTCTCGCTCCTTTATGTTCATATCATCAATGGGATTGAGGACCGGTGGCCCCAGAGGGAATCGTTTCTTGGCCTCCTGAATGGTCTTCAGCACGGCCCGCCGATTGTCCGCACTGCGTAAATCGCTGGGGAAGTAAACCCGAATTGAGCTGATCTGGGTAATGAGCGTATGCGCAACCGGAACCACCTCCATGCATCCGCGCTCATTTGGCTGGCATGGCTCTGTGTCTCCAGACTTGGCAGCCGCTTCGCTAACGTGCAGCAGCACATCAATGGTAACGCTGGGCTCAGTCTTCAATGGATTCTTGCGGCTTTGGTCCTGCTTCTTAAAGTTCAGGACAATTCCCCAGTCGTACTCCTGTGTGCCCGCGGAAACCTTGACCAATCTGCCAGGCTGCAGGAACGGCAAAAGATATTGCGGCTTTGTTATCCACTGGCGGAACTGCTTGCCATGATTATCCAACTGAGACCGGATGTGGTGATAGGATGCTATATTGTGCTCGTCCTTAATGCTAAGCTTGTTGAGCTCTAAGGTCTTCTGTTCCACTTGGTCATGTAGGCCTGGAAGGGCTGCTTGGTTTTGGAACTGATAGAAACTGCGCTCTAGCATGTACTCCGGATTGATCTCCTCCACGCGCAGCAGATTCAGCACCATGTTGTATGTAAGATGGAATGCTGAATTGATGGGATCCGCCTTGCCCTGCACAATGTCTCGACCTACGGCCGGCGAAACTTTTTCGTCGATCATCAGGATCACAATACCCTTGTCATCCAATCCTCGACGACCGGCACGACCCGCCATCTGGATGTACTCGCCGGAGCTAATCCAGCGGAAGTCCTTGCCGTCGAACTTTCGTGGAGCTGTAAACAATACCGTCCTGGCCGGCATGTTGAGGCCCATGGCAAAAGTTTCTGTGGCAAACAAGGCCTTGATTAGACCCTCGCCAAACAGGATTTCTATGGTCTCCTTGAGGATGGGCAGCAGACCACCGTGATGGATGCCAATGCCGCGGCGTAACAACGGCAATACGTTCTCAACCTGGGGAAGGCGACGATCCTCCTCCGAAAGCACTTCCATGGCATTGTTGAAAACCTCGTCCACCAGCTTCTTCTCATCTGGAGTATTAAAGTCCAACTTGGCCATCTGCATGGCGTAGACTTCGCAGTCTTTTTTGCTGAACGAGAATATAATGACTGGTGCAAAGTTGCGCTCCATGATCATCTTTACGATTTTAAAGATATTCGTTTGTCCGGCATTGGTGCCCTTAATGCCACCATTGCGTCCTTTCTGATCTCCTTTGCCAGCCTCACCTTAAAAACATGGATATTAGGACAAGGATGAGATTTAATTGATTTTTCTTGACTTACCCGCATTAGCCAGCACTGCCATTGCTGTAGTGAAGTTCTCCTCCTTGAACTGCCCCTTCTCGTCTACAATGAGATGGATTCCATCGCCTCCAGCCGGGAAGATGTAGTGCTGCAGGGGAGTGGGACGATAGTCGGTGTATACCACGTGACACGGCTGTTTGTGAAGGTGGCAGACCCACTCGGCGAACTGTCGCGCATTGGGAATAGTGGCCGATAGAAACACATAGCGTACGTTGTCCGGAAGCAGGATGAGCGTCTCCTCCCAGACGACGCCGCGCTCCTTGTCGCGCATATAGTGAATCTCGTCGAAGACCACCCAGCCCACCTCGCGCATTATTTCGCTACCGCGATACAGCATGTTCCGCAGAATTTCGGTTGTCATAATCAAACAGGAGGCAGAGGGGTTAATGGTCACGTCTCCAGTGACCAGACCCACGTCATGGAACTCGTCGGTAAACTCGCGGAACTTCTGGTTGGAGAGCGCCTTGATTGGTGTAGTGTATATGACCCGCTGTTTGGCGGCTAACGACTTGGCGATGGCGTACTCCGCAACCACAGTCTTTCCAGCTGATGTGTGGGCCGAGACCAGGACGCTCTGGCTGTTGTCGATACACAAGATCGCTTGTCGCTGGAAGGGATCGAGCACAAAAGGATATTCTTTAGCCGGTACCCCGCTAAACGGTTTGAGGGGTATATATTCCTGGTCGGGATGAGCGGCCACCTCGTGAGTGCACGATTTGGGCGCTTCCAATAGATGGGTCACAATCCTCGTGCGCAGAGCCTCCAAGGCAGCGGAATCATCCAAATCTAGAGTACGTGTTTGTTCCTCATCAGCATCATCCTCATCAGCCAAAGACTCTGTCTCCTCTTGCTTCAGACGTTTGGTAGGCTCCTCTAGATTATCTTCTTCGTTCAAACCTTCTTTCGAGGATTTCGTTGAATTTTTGTCTTGAGCATTCCGTTTGCTTCCCTTCTTAGCGTTGCCGCTTCCTGACGGTTTCTCCTCCTGGTTAATCGCCGGCGGAGGCACCTGTGCCGGCACTTCATCGAAGCAGTCAAACAATTCGTCAATATCCATGCCTGAATTCGCGTTTATTGCCTATTTTCCTCTTTAAATATTTCAACGCAACACACGCCGCAAAACATGTGAATTTTTTCAGTGCAGACAATTTATCTATTTTTGTGCAATATCTAGCTATTTAAAAGTATAGTATTAAAGCTAAAATTTAAAAAATCTCAGTTTGAACCCGTTAAAATCCAATTAAAAAATTTAAAAAAATATTTTATTAAAAGAAAATTCATTTGAATAAAATAGCTTCTAGCAGGAAGCAGAGCAAGACCGAATATACAAAAATGTTTATTATTTGTGTCGTGGACATATGCGTTGTTAAATGAAAGATGACAACTTTTCATAGAATAATAAAAGATCGCTTAATATTGAAATGATTTAATAGAAACCAGTAACGAACATTTTACTAAAAAATTTGTTCATATTGAAAGAAAACTAAGAATTATTTAGTGGAGAGTGACTACTTTCACAGTCCTCCCGTGAATTGAAGAAGTCCGACTTTCGAGCGCAGTCAATCAAGGAGATTGCAATACATCGCTTATGCTCTGGGCTATACCTATACCTGGGAAAATGTGCAGTGCACGGTCTAAGATAATCTGTAAAAATTAATTATACAAACAAATTTAAAATTTGTATTTCGCTGTAAAACACGAAGCTATTTCAACATTTTTAAAACATTGCGTAGAATATTAGAGATTTAACAATACTTACCCTCATGGTTCGCTAAGGCAGGTCCCAACAGGAAGCAGAAAACTGTGAACAAATATAAAAATTTCATTTTAATTATTCTTTAGGTAATTGAGTTAGAAACTTCAACTGAAGTGATCGAAGAAGATGATAGCTTTTTATAGAATCAAACGTGATCGCTTATCAACTCGATTCCAAATAATATCTCATAATCTAGTCAAACGATAAAATACATAATATATTAATATATTTTAAAACTGATTTTCAGGAATATAATAAAATTACCCTGATAATTTTTAAAAATAACATGGAAATCCGATGATCTTAATGACATATCTAAGAAAATTGAAGACTGAGATTTTGATAAGAAATTCTTATAAACTGATAACAATATTTATAAACTAAGCTATATATATGAAATATTTATAAATATAAATAAAAAAAAATAGGTTAGAATTTTATTGTTTAAGATATTTTAGCTTTTAAGCTAGAAAATACCAAAAATGTTTTCTTGGTTCCGGTTCAAAAGCTATCCAGAATCTAGTATATTTTACAGTAGGGTCACACTGGCGCGCACAGCTGTTTTAGTGCCTCCATTTCCATTAAATTATACAATTGTTGGCGTTTTTCGACGCCTATATCGCGAGTTGCAGGAAAGATCGGTGAAAAATGGTTGCTGGTGGTGCCTCAGATACGGGCGGCGTAAAGCCGATGACCATTGCGGGTCGCATGGTGCGGGAGCGGGAACGCTTGATCGGCATGTCGCCCGATGAGCGCGCCTGGCGCAAACAATGGTTGAAGGACCAGGAGCTGCACCATGGACCCCGAAAGGTGCCGGCTCTGGAACTCGAACTCAACAATCCCATCAAGCGGTTCTATCGCGCCCCACTAGACAAGGTCTGCAACGTCTTGGAACCCGTCCTGGTGAGTTAAAAACATGGATTATGTAATCATATCTTTGGGCACTTTTTGACCAGAGGAAATAACATCTTCTTGGCTTTTAGGGCTTCCAGCGGGCATTCACCGTGCGCTACTGGACCGGTAAGGCACTCCTCGCCCTTACCGGAATCTACGCCGGCGCCTACTACTTCAAGTACAACCAGAATGTAAGTACTGAATCAAACAAACTGGTTAATGTTATTAAAAGATTATTTGATTCACCATTTACCCTGAAATTAATTCTACTCAGTGGTTAAGACAATAACAAAGATTATTATGTGGTTTGTGTGTTAGTTAAAATGCTGATAATTGATATATAAAGTTTAGCAAATCTTTAAAACTAAAGAACAATCATTTTTCTTACTTAAACTTTAATTAATTATAAAAAATTAAAATTAGGTCGCAGTTATTTCAGCTCATTCCTCAGACATCTCATTACAATTACTACTTATAGTACCTATTGACAGTTTTGGTTTTGATATGATATTCTTCTATCATCCATAATATAAATTTAAGCCAAACTCTTTTAACTATTAAATAACCCTTTTTTTCATTCAAGGACTGGACCCGAAAAGGTGGCTGGCGTGTCATCCACTCCCGCAAGGCTTGCGTACCCGGAGACGAGGGCTATCCCAAGGTCTCAGATCGCTCTGCGCCATCCGATTACGCTGCCCGCGGATTCAAGGAGTCGCCTTTATAAGCTGATGATCATCTTCGAGCTCGCTTAGTGATTTTTCTTAAGTTTGAAACGTAAATTAATATTATCAAAACAAAAATCGCAATAAATATGGAAACGAAAACACAGAGATCGAGATTGAGAGTGGATTGTGGTTTTGCCATTGCTTCACTGCTGAAGAAGACGTTTTTCTGCTGTGCTTGGCGGATATTCTTTTTTTGTTGGCTTTAACTTGGCCAAAAAGCTGCTTAAGCAGTTTGTCATTGCTCTCAATTAGCTGAAATTGTTCATTATCGGCCACTTTCTTTTATTTGCATTTTCGACTTGGCGGAGAAACCAGGTTGCGCCTGAACCTCCAAGAAAATGAGATTTTCTAACAAGGTGTGGCAATTGGCATTTAAAGAAATGGACAGATATATAAATTTAAGGATTTTAAAAAAAAGTTAAAAAGTGGTTTAAAAAAAGGTTTTTAAAACAACATATTTATTTTGTGAAAAATTAAATTGATTTTAAATAATAAATTTGATGAAATAATTTAATATAAAAATATAAAGAAAAATTTCATAATGATAAGTGTGTTAAAAATCTAATCTAATTGATATTTATGTAGAAGTGAAAAATTATAACAATTATAAGCTCGTTAAAAATAAGTCAAAAATCTAAGTAAATATCCGACAAAACAGGTAAAAAGCAAAGCCTTAAAGCTAATACCTTTAAATTTAATCACATGCGTGAACTATTAAATTTATAATTTTAACTCAAATTATCAGAAGCTATCTTGTGAAAAAAAAGTGTAAGAGGTAGAAAATTCGATGTCTAATAAAATATTAACTAAAAATCGATCATTCAAAGTGCGCGCCCAAAATTTGTAAAATTAAAGTGCAAATATGTGCAGATGAAAGTCCTAATCGAATATGTTTATTAAATTTTTTTAAATTGATTTTATAAAACTTATTAGTGATCCTTTTATTATTACGCTATATTTGTAGCCATAGTTTTAAAACAATTTTAGCTTAACCACTTTTAAAAAATTACAATATTCAAAAAAGAGCGCGAAATCGATATATTAAAATATCCGATGCCTCATTAACACGTTTTCTTTATTTGGAATTCATTTTTTTTTTAAATCGCATCGCAAATGCTTAAATTAATTAGTGCAAAGGATAAATAAATTTAATGATTATAAACACTTTTAACAATTGGCATAATATATTTTTAGTTTAAAGTGCGCGCCTAAAAAATTTAAAGATTCAAATTTAATGATTATAAAGGGAATTCATCTATAAGTTTTAAGTAACACTCAATAGTGGTATATTTTGCAAGCCAAGAATTGCAAAAACCTTTTAAAATAAAACAAAAATTCAAATTTAATTCAAAACTAGAGCGCGATGTAAGAGATTTCGATTAATGTTGGTGAGAAAGTAGGTTTTTCAGATGTGAATACTTTAAAAGTCATATTCTTTGTAAAATTTTATGATGTGAAACACAAAAAAGTTGGAGCAGAAAAATTTTAAAAACATAATCAGTTTAAAACTTATTCGTCCGCCGCGATGCATAACATCAGATTCAAATTGACCGCACAACAAAAAATCCCGAGATCAGTCGCTGTGGCAACGCCACCAACCGAATAGATACTCTCTTTGCGCCGTGTGGCCAGATGATTATTGTATTAGTGTTGTGGCTGTTCGCTCTTGCCTTCGACGCCGATCTTTCTGCTCTCTCGATTTCGATCTCGACGCAGTGTCGTGCCGAACCGATAATTGTGTTATTTTCGAGTCGTTGAAAAGGCCAAAAAAGTGTGCTTGCTCCTAACTTGAAATCGTTTTGACTTGGCCTTGACTTGGGGTTAAGCTGGCCGTGAAAATTCCCAAAGAAAAAAACGTGAAAAGGTGACTAAAATTGTACAAAATAAGGAATAAGAAACGGGAAGGTGAAACTGTCTTGCTGGCTGGTGTGCGCTTGAGAGTGTGTGTGACTGTGCGGCGGTGTGTGCAATTTTTTCATCATAATTCCAGTCCTCGTGTGTTTTTCGGTGTCCAATCCCCGCGAGAATTCAGCTAAATCCTGCCCAGCAGCAGGTGAGTGATCTTGGCTATTTGGCCAACTAACTTTGAAGCAGGTGCATGGCCCAAAAGTTCGTGAACCCATCGTTTCAAACGATCTCGCTAAGACCTTATTTCCACATTCTACTATTGAAAAAAAAAACGTGAGCAGCGACGTCGACGTTTTTAGCTCTCTTCTTTGCACCTTCTCTCTCTTTCTTTACCCTCTCTTTTCGCGCGCAGCTGTCATCGCTGTCAGCAGCGCGCGGCGACGTCGGGTTCCCGCGCGCGGGAAATTGCCAACTTCAATCGATTATATTTTCACCAAATCAATCGCAATTTTCAGTTTTATTGCAAAATCAGATTCCTTGGGTTTTAGGCTTTCCGTTGGTTATAAATATGAAGGGGCTTTCTTTTAGGTTACTCGTTATATAGGCTGTTGAACTTGGGGCCAAAAATGCTCAAATGGTAATCGATGACAACAACAAAGTAGCAGCGGTTTGTTTGGTTCCAGGGCAGCGTTGCCACCTGCTTGCGGCCAGGAACTGCTGTGAGATGTTTTGTCTTGCAATTTATTAAAATCTGTTAAAACGTCTTAAATTTTAAAAATTTCGGGAACTTAAATAGTGTTTTTGAGAAGTAAAATAATATTGGTTAATGGCAAAAATTTCTTGTACTTTTATATTGGTTCTATGGTGTGCTTAAATGGAGTTTAAAATATTTATAAAATTTTATTTTTCTTCCAACTTTTAATTAATATCTTTTAAGGTCTTAAAAACAAATTTTAACTTTATAATTTAAGATAAAATTGGTTTCAAAACACCAGATATAATATACTATATCCGCCCTTCTGGCATCCTTATCAGCTGTTATTCGACCACCCAGCTGTCTGACCGTTGAATCCCAATTGGAGTCTGACTAGCCTGTCGGGACTCCAATTGCAGACTCCATTCAATAAAATGCGAAGCCTGCCACCAGCGGCTTCATCGCCCTGTCTCGCTCCAACATGCCCTATTCTTTGCGCGGGAGACGCTGTCCCCGTCTCTGTTTCACATTTTAGATACAACAAAGTTGCCCCTTGTGTTTGTTGCATTTTTTGGCGCTTCGGATCAGCTTGTTTTGGCGCGTTCCTCTTGCACACTCGTCGCAGTCGACGTCGCTGTCAACGTCGCTGCTTTCGGTGCCCAGTTCCACCAATTTTTTTTCGGTTCCAAAGCGATCACTCTGCTGCCGCCGCTCCGCTGCTCGTGAAGTTTTTTCGTGGCCGGCGTGTGACGATGACGACGACGACGAAAAACTCTCGAAAGTATCGTTGTTAAATTCCTTCGAAAAACAAGTGAAAATATTCGGGAAAAACAGGCATTTTCCTACTTATTAGAAGGTAAAACCAATTGCACAATGGTTCGATTGGATAAACGGGAAAAAATACAAGTGAAAAAATATGACGCGTGTGTGGTGTGACAAGTGTGTGTGGGATAGCGAAGGAGAGAGTGGGAGAGAACGCAGCGTTTGCCGTCGTGTCTTTGCATTTTTTGCTACAAATACAACGTCCTCTTATAAGAAAATTGACACGCTGTAGGATTTAACCGTTGGTTTCTGATTGGCAAATGGGGCGGGGTACTGCTTATCAAGTACCAATAGGTCCCAGTAAGAATCTCGAAAGTGTAAAAAAATATTCCATACAAATATCTTAATATCCAAAAGGGAAAAATATCCTACGAGAATACCTTAAGTATCCCAAGATAAATTCCTAGCAAGTAGAAGCTTGACATGTCCTATAAGAATGCACATAGTTTCTTATATGGTCGAAGCAGTCCAGTGAACTGTCAAGGTTTTTTCTGATTGGGAAGCTTTGAAGTGCAGCTTATTCTATGGCCGAGCTGTTTGGGCCAACTTTCTAATCTTTCTCCCGCTCGAATTGCACTTTTCCCGCCATTCGCATAGATTTTGGGCGGTAAAACAAAACTGCGCCAGCCCAAACGCCTAATTCGCGCCACTTTGTGTTTCTCCATTCTTTTCCCCATGCTCATTTCATTTTTATACGCTTCCTCCAATGACACACACACTCACAAATTCACAGACACACATATGGTGAAGAAATGCGCTCCCTAAGAGAGATGGGGAGCTCTCTTTCTCTCTCTCTTCCGTTTTATTCCAATCAGAACAACGAGTCAAGTTATTTTTCCCCTGTTCTACAGCAACAGCAAACAAAAACTTTTAGTACTGCTCTGCCGACGTCGACAGTGGCGCCGACTGTGGCCGAGGCAGAGGCAGCGACGGCGGGAAAAGTTCAACGCAAAACTTCGAACCTTTTGAAAACTTGACGAACACGAAGCAGCAGGCAAAGCAAAATGGGGAAAAAGAGTAGAAAAAATAATGAATTATGTCAAAAGTGGCGCAAAAATCTTGGTACACAGAAAAAAATGATGTAGATTTAAGTTTCAAATGGGTTGGTTACACAGCAAGAAATGTAATTCATTCTTATCAGTTTTACATATACTTATGTAACTAATGTTAAACTAGGTGATGAGTTCACTTATATCTTCATTTATTGAACATGTCTTTTGCGCATTGAAATTTCGAAACTAGTTTAGACCTTGTCTTTTTTCCGGTGTAGGAACTCTATGTACGTAGCATTAATCGACGAGGGAGCGAGATAGCCTCTTAAGTCGATCTACGCGTACCGGAGAATGGAGTTCATTGATATTTCTCTGTGCTTTGCTATTGCTTCTCCTCCCTCGTCACCTTCCACCTCATCTTCGTTCTCTTCTCTTAGTTGATCTTGTCTTTTGTTTCCATTTACCTGCTACAATTTATTTGGTTGTTATTGTTGTTGTGTCTTTTCGCAATTTTGACTTTCTTCTTTATTTTTTGCATTCTTTTTTGCGAGCTGTTTTGCCTCTTTGCTTTTCGCGCCGTTAAACTTGTTGAGTGGGCGTGGCGGGGCGTGCGCGGGGGCTGGTTTGTGGATTGTTGATGGGGTGGCTTTTTGTATACTGAAATTTTTGGATTATGTCATGATCGATCCGAAATAACATTCTTAATTGTGGTTCTTTTAGTGAGTTTTTTAGATTTTAGGATAATGAGCATAGAGTATCATTTTTTTTTTTATTAATTTTATTCTATTAGGACAAGGTCAATGTTTTTTGTTTGACTCACCTAAATACTCCTTAAATCATTTATTCAAATCCCAGTCATCACCTTTTTATTCTTGTTCCGACCAAGTGGTTTTCCCACATTCGCGGCAGGTCATCAAAGGATCAAAGATGAGAGAGCCCTAAACCCATTTGTAATATTTTCTCATCATATATAAGAATCACACATATCACCTGCCGATATTAACCCGAATTCCTGGTAAAATACAAATAATATTTCTCAATTACAAGTGCGGAATGTTTTACAAATATTACGAGCTATCCAAAGATGAGTTGTGAATACAAACTGCTTAAATAAATGTGCGGGATTCTCTTTTATTGTCTATACATTTTTGTCGCTTCAGCAGAGGAATTCGATTTGGAATCGGACTGAGGAATAAGGTATAATGGGGTAAGGGGTAAGGAGGAGAAGCCATATGAAGGGCAGAAACAACAATGATAAACAGTTTCCAGTTATTCCCAGACAAACAAAGGATAGTCCAGCAGGAGAGTTGGGGGAAAGGCGGCAGGACAGGACGTAGGCCACTTGAACTGGCTGTGGCCAGCATCCTTTCAGACGCTGCTAAATATAAACTAAATAGTCAATTGAGCGCATCTCGTTGTCCTAACGGCTACTTCAAGGCCGTCGATTCCTGGAACTGGAACGCTGCCGCCATCGCCGCCGTCGCTCCATTCAAGAACTTTGATTTGTTCTCCTTCGGCTCGGCTTGCCTGGCTTTACTTTCACACGCCGTTTTGCCCAGGCGGCGCTCTTCAGATACAAAAAAAAAAAAGAAGAAAAACACAGATACTCACATACGGACACACGGACACTGATGCACGCAGGAGAGGAGACCTCGTTGAGGATCGGCTTTCCTGTTTTCGTTTTAGTACCCTGTACTTATGTGGTATTGGGTATATCCGGTAGGGCCTTTCTTGCGTTAGTTAAGATCAGAATTTCCAAGATTCAGCAATGTTTCTTTTTAAATAAATACATTTGGTTTAGGTATTTTGTTTACAGCTTTTTCTTACTTAACATTGATCAGGTAAAAAAAATAGTTTTCCTAAATTTATATATCGTTGATTTAATTTGCCTTAATAGCTTAAAATTTGTATATAAAGCATATAACTTTAACTATAATTAACTCGAGTAGAAATGTAGTCTTTCCATTTTTGGTATAGTCGAAAAACGATATCTGTAGTTTTTGCCCAACCCTTGCAATCTTTGGTCCCTTCAGAGTTCCAACTAATTGCAAGAGTTGTGGCCAAACCATAACAACAACAAAGAGAAAAGAAGGAGACCGGCATTGGCATTGACAACCCAAAAGATACCCAGATGCATGTGCATTTATCTCGAGTATCTTTGGAATGTATCTCGTCGCATGTGCAGAGCCCAAAATGCAGCCCGAAAAAGGACGCACAAAAATTGCAGGCCCAGACAGTTGAAGACGCCGTCTCTCCAGAGGCCCCCGGATAACTCGAGACCTGTTTTCCCTCTACTCTATATGTTATACTCTCAGTGATATACATACATATTTATGTATATGTTTATTTTTTCGCTCTCCTTTGCGCATTTTGCGCATTCTTCTTTGCATTGCCGCAAGTTGCATTACATATTATATCTAGAGACTTGGTTCCATTTCCTTGTGGGAAATCTTCAGCACAAAGCAAATATTTCGAGATGAGGAGCCCCTTAAGATTTGCCGAAAATACGGTCGACTCTATTTTTTCCAGTTAAATGACCTTGGAGGACCCCGTCCAGGTAAACAGATTCACTCAGGCATCGGCTTTAATTAGGCTCTAGAAAGACAAGGAAACCCCTGTGTTTATCCGCTCCGATCCGCGGCATTATTCATATTTGTATACCTGTCGCCGCGGATTTCTCCCGAACTCGCAGCCTTCTTCGCTTAATCTTCATTAGAGGAAATGCATCCTGCATGTGGGCAGTCCTTGCCATTAGTTATGCATCTATCAATGGTAGTCTCTAGTATTTGGACAAGGGAAATCTGGTTAGCGATAATACAGTCATTTGTTTGCTAGAATCCCCTGTCATCAGTTTGGGGTTTTATAAATACACATGTAATCCCATCTAGGAATATTAATTTTAGGATATTTGTTTTAATTATCGGTCTAAAAAAGATTACTTTAGTCCGACCATTAAAAAAACAAGACAGATCCTTGAGATTAGAAATCGATCTTTAATCTCATGAAGAAGATATTTTTTGTTCTGTCAGAAATGTAACTACGATATTAGTTTTTAGACTTTATCTTTTAGGTATTGTAATTATACAAGTATACTAAAGATACATATTTTACTTAGAGATACATAGTTATGTGAATTTTTTTTGTAGCCAAACTTCTCTGTTGGAAATAGAATACTCAGAGGGTTGAAACCCGATCTCAGAAAGCAAGAATGTTTTAAAAAGACTTCGGAGAAAAAGTGAAGAAGAACCCCAATTAATTAGAAGGCATATCCGCAATTAGTTTGAAAATGATGGTTGAAAAAGCAAAATATTGTGCATGAGAAAAGGCCGGAAAACGCAAACGAAAAGAGAGGCAAAAAAGTGAGGAAAATAGACAATCCGTTGCATAAGAATAAGAAAGTAAGGGAAAGAATGAAAGAAAGTCGTTGACTAAAAAGCATTCGCATATGGGGTAGGAAAAAGGTGTCGAACTGAATGGCAGGCTAAGGGAGGTCCATAAATCGTGGCAAATATAACGCCAGGCCCATATGTCACACGGATAAAGGAAAAATTAAAGGAAGGGAGGAGAAAAGGAAGAAGGGAAATGGAATAAGGAAACGCGACAGGATACAATTAGCGAGGGGGAAGTCAATTGAAGTTACAAAAGCAGCAGCAACAGCAGCAGAGACATTGCCAGAATCCTTTTGGTTGGGGTAGGACCTTCAACAGCTGCCGCTCCCCTTCTCCACTCTACTCACCTGTCCTGCATCAAAATCATCCTACAATTCTAACAGAAGGCCAGCAGCGATCAACTCCTAGCCACAACAGGTGCATCGGGGAGACAAGGACTCGACTTCTCGATATAATTAAGCGTTGTAAACCACTAGAAAATGTGAATGTTGCGCATGCGCCGAGTGCGACGCACCTGACTTCGATACACTCGAAATATTTCATTTAACAATCATAATAAAAATGGGTTGCATAAATATGTTCATTGATTTCTTTGAAAATTAAATATATATTTTATTGGTGTGACAAGAAAACATCACTGGATTACCATCCATATTTAAATGAAATTTTAAACTATTAAAAAACAAAGAAATTTTTAAGTGTACAGGAAATTCAAGGGGAAGCAGCTGAAGCTGAACCTCTTGCAGAAGGCATCAATCGAGACTCGTGGAAATTCTATTATGATAAAAAACTGACCATCTCGTGACTACCTGTTAGGATGACCCAACTGACCCAAAATGGAAAACTCCTACCCATCTTTCTGTAATTTGAATATCTTAGACACACTTTGCACCCAAAGAAATATGTTTACAGTCGTTTTGCTAAAAGCAAAAAGTTGGTGTATTTAATATTGTTTTTCGAGAAAAACTCACGTAAACAAATTTGTTTGGGGTTTTTCAAACGAGGAAACTCCACGACCACATGCTGTGTTTGAGTTCTGCTCAAGGATCATATGTTGTTTTTTGTTCCACAAGGATCTACAGATAATGGCGTTGATAGGTTTCGTCAAGTCGTAAAAACTTAAAAACACATGGACTCTTAGTCTTTGAATGTTGGAATTCGTTTCTTATTTAATTGTTAATATAAATGCATTTATGGTTTTTTAAACTTATTTTATATTTTGTTTATTTTACTTACAGTTCCTTTTAAATTATTTAAATTATTCAAACAATTCCTGCTTTTGAAGAGCAGACGTTGTACAAGATTCAGGATTACAGAACCTCAACGGCTTCTCAAGGCCGTACAATTATGGGTTTAAATGCCAAGAGGTAAGTTTTTTATATTCGTATATTTATATTACTATTACTATTACTATTACTTTCTTCTTTCTAATTACCTATTACTTCTTTAAAATACTATTTTAAAATATCTTGTAAAACTATTTGAATAAATAAAGTTTTTCTTATATGACTAAAAATAACTTGAAATGGTTTAGGATTTTATTTCTTGGTTAAAATATAAGTTCTTGAAGTCTCTATCATAGCCTGCATGTTTTCCTTGGCTTCATTTATGATCTTAGACATTTCCTATTCCCATCAAACACTTTTCGTGACTTCCATTTCCTCTGCAGCCCTGACCAAACTAATTAGCACCCCACATGAAAGCCAAAAGGCGACTCCCCAACTGCATATAATACCATTTGTTTCTAACGTTCGGGGACTTCCTGTGGCGACATTCGATCGACTTCCTTTTTACCACTAACTATCCTGGTAGCGCGTCTCCCTTTAATTCTTTTAACCAAAAGTGATGTTTATCTAATAGCTATTTCGTAATTATAAAGTGACAGAGCCCAACTGGTTATGCCCGAATACTCCCCGGGAAAGTAAGACCCGCAGGAGCTATAACCACTCGTGATCGGATCCTACTGTTCCTTCTGCAGCCGTTTCAACATTTTGACTCAAGTGCGATAATCTAAAATGCATTTTCACTGTCGATTTCCAAAAAAACAGATGGCTTGTAGGTGTTAAAGTCCAAACTGCGTTGATAACCAAGTGCCGCATTCCTCAACACTCTTTACATACCTTTACAGGACTCTCTGTCTAGGTCCTGCGTGTGATTAGTATATAATTGCGCGCGAAAATGTCATTAGAAAAGTGTTTAGTTGTGGGACAGTTCAGGTCAGTTTGGTTATGTCAGAGGGTTGACCATAGGGGGTTTGTTCGGCTGTGTTGATAATGCTGTCACATCACAAACACATGTCCTTCAGTCATGTCCTGGCTAAAAATTAATTGAGTTTAATATGTTCTTTCACCCTGCACTATATATTTTTGCTTGTGGGTGCCCCTGCGCATGACCATAATTGCATAATTGCCTAGTCATTTGGTTTTGTCAGTTGCGTCCCCTTTTGGCATTCAACATCATCATCGCCCACTCCCTCCTCTTTCGACCCACTGATCACAGCGATCACTTAAGTGATAGTCCATTTTATGGACATATTTCGTGGTCAGCATGTGTGCGACATAATTATTGGTATGTGTTGCGAAACTATTTTGCTGCCATCTATAACGGAATTTGTCAAAAATGTGACGGAAGTTTAATTTAAGATTAAACAAGGAGTATTGCATACTTTTGAGGGCATGCATTGTAAATACGAGGAAGATTTAAAAATCATCTAATGACTTTTGAACCTTCTTTTCAATTATCAAATATGAAAGTAAAACGCTTTTAAGTATTCTTTTTCTATAATCCTACATTTAAAGGTTATCCTTTAGAGTTAAGAGCATGATTTACCAATAGATTACCAGTAAAGTTACATGAATTCCCAAACATAACTGTTCCTTAAGATACAAAGTAAAGCAATAAATAACATATTCCTAATCCCAGCCTCTCTGTTTCTTATAATTTATCATGTGAGAAAGATCGATCCTTCGATAGTCCCCTTATTATGCACTGGACCAGATTCCAGGAATTGCTTCGTTGAATTTCTTTATATCATCTACAAGATAGTCACCCAATCCATTTGCTACCTACAGGCAGAAGGGGGAAAAACTAAACCGAAACAAGGTATCTGGCTTCTTGCCGCAAAAGGAAAGGAAACTTTCACCTCGAAATGACAAATTTCAGTTTGAACCTTAAGCCGCGGAGATGAGCGGTAACCCCTGACCCCGGAACCCTGAACACAAAGAAAAGAAAGAAAGAAAGCGGGAAAAACTTGAAGGCCGCATGCACGTACGCTCCATTAGCCCTTTCTCGCCATAACTCATTTTTAAGCGATTTCATTTCCTCGTAATTTACTACGTGATTACTTTTTCTTGTTCATTAAACCATTAAACCCGATCGATAGTGCAGGGCTAGGATCAAAACAGGAGGCTGCAATCCCCGGACCTCTGACCAAGAGAAAGAAATGGCTAAAGCATTTGAATTTATGTGCAGCAGCCCTTTTTTTTTAACCCTATTCACAATATCCTCAAGAAAGGTTTTCGGTCCCAAGGGTTAGATTTCGTCTTGTTTTTTATCCTTTTGCTCCTTGCTCAAATTGCAAAAATTCGCGCATCGAATTGCTTAAAGTGCAGTTGCGTTTGCCTTGCAACACTTGAGATTTGTGGCAAAGGGATATAACATCTGCCCGTCCTCTCAAGAAGGGGAAATTCCATTCTTAACGTTTGCGCCAGCCTCTTGCATTATGCTAATGTCCATGCAAATTTGCCAAAATTGCTCAATCTCAAGGAGGAAAGGCTTTTCCCGAGCCCTCACAACCGATCCCATTTCCATTTCCCTCGATCAGTCATCTCGATTTCAATTTCCCGGATGTTAAATATTAATGTATCCGTTGGGCGCCTTAATCTCCGGTCTTGTATCGCGATTCGAATGCCGTGTCAAAATTCAATGAATTTATGTTCGTTTCGTTTGTATCTATTTTAGAACGCCCCTATGTGATTTGCTGCTTGCCTCCGTGGCATATTGAATTTCTCTATTTCGCAAAAAAGGAGAAATTCGGAATAACTGATCTCACAGTGGTTTGAGTTCGTAAAAATAAATGAGTGGTTTTCTGTTTAAAATTTGTTCTTCGAAACGTTCCATTGCCTAATTTTATATATTATATTTTGATAGGTTGTCAAAAATATTTTCCATTTTTTATAATGTTAAAATTATATTATTTATGAATCATGTTTGTACCACTGCTAACTTCATACACTTTCTTTTGCAGTGTTTGTTCTACCAGCAGCACTGAGCCAAATGGCAGCATAGTCACAACCGCCCCCGGCAACGGAGAAGCCAGCACCAGCAGCAGCATTGTCGTCGTCGTCAGCAGCAGAAGTAATAGAAGCAGCAGCATTAGCCCAAACCCAATCCCATCATCGTCATCTGCCTCAGCGACTCAAAGCAAAGACGATCTACCGGGAACCTCAGCAGCCTCCAAAATATCAGAAATGTGCTCTTGTGATAACCAGAACCTTGCAACATCCACAGCACCAGCCACAACTTCAAATGGCAATAAACGTAAACGGCGTTTAAGTAGCGATTCAAACGATGATTCTAAGGTGAGTAATCCAATGCAAATCGTACTTTAAACATAAGGCCAGACATGGTAAATAAGTTTTATGAATGAAGTTGCATTATCGGGCCAAATGACCTCGTTGATTTTTGCAATCTTATCAAGGAAACGTCAAGAGCGATAGCGAGGAAGAGCGTTCCGATGACCCAAACGATCTTGGAAAACGATGATCAAGCTTTTTTTTTTTTTTTTGCTTATGCATTCTAATTTGGAATTTAAAATTGATTTAATGTTCATATATTCTGACCTCTTATAATCTCTGGCTGTTTTCTGTCCTCTATTTTCTTGATTGAAATATAAATGCTTAGGAATTTTTATAATCAAAATTTTCTCAAATTGGAATCGATTAAAATTCCATGATAGTTTTTTTTTTTTATAAAAGCTCACATATTTAGCTAAATATTATCAACTACTACTATTACTTAGAGAGTTTTTGAATTCTTAGAAATTATTAATTATATTTTAACTGATTTATTCCAGCATGATTAACTATGAATAATACTGATCTTTGGGCAGCTGTTTCTTGATTGTCGATCAATTTGTTAATAAAAGTATTTTTATATCCACATATTTTACAAAAGATCACTGAAATGTTTTCATTGATCACTGATCTTCAAACATCTCTTTTTCGTATGTTTGGCAAACGATCTTTTGTTTGTACTTTCATTTGAATGGGCAGCCCTTTCGTGGCTTCCAGTCGCTTGGTTGCCGATCTTCATTTGATCTTTTGCTGGTTGAGCTCTAGCCAAATAAGCCGTTGGGCACGTAGACAGCTACTTGGCACTTCTGCTCTGGCACAATGCAAAGATGAGCCCAAAAATAAACGCTACTTACTGAAAGGGCTCGTTTAGCAGGATCCTTAGAAGCCTTGAAGTCAGATCTTCTCTCAAGTAGCTGCAATCAAAGCGAAGAACAATGGCTTCTTCTACTTCTGGCGGGTCTTGGCGAAGGGCAGCTGTGTTGGTGCAAAGGATTTTTTTCCAGTGATATATGAAAATATTGAGGGGAGAGAATATTCTCCTATACGTGCAATGAACTTGCAGAAATTGTTTTCTTGTTTGTTAGTTTGGTACCCTATGATATGGTATCTTAGTTTAAGATCCATTGGAAATATCGTAAGGATATCGAAATTATTTAAAGAATATAGGAAACCCCATACTTATCCTCTTCAAATGAATTAAGTTAGTTCAATTAAATTAAAGAAAAAAAAATCATTTCTATGTATATTTCTCCAAGGGTATCTAAAATGTCTACCTCCAAAAATGTTCCAGGGGCCTTGGTGTGTTGTTTTTTATTTTTTGCAACGTTTCTGCTTTTACTTCCCTGACAAACAAATGTCATTCTCGTACGAAAAAAATGGTTGGCAAAGTAATGTCTGGCCCCCTCTTCAGGCGAACGTTGTTGGGTAAGGGAATTCCGAAGGGGTCTTGGCAGAAGTTTGAGCATATGCACGGCAGGACAAAGGAGTCGGAGACCAAGGACAGAAGGCGTCGTTGCGCATGCGCGCACACCTTTAGCCCAAGTTTGGACTTCTCGCCAGGGGTGGGTTTTCCAAAGTCAAGGCGGCAAATGTCCGTTAAGGCCGTTGGAAGAATTTGAAATTGCGATAGTTATAGGTTAGCTTGAGGCAGGAACTAGATCAAGACGGTATCTTTTGGATTGCGATCGGGATGGGTAAGGGATCGAAGCGACTACCGGAATGGGACAGAGCTAAAACCGCAAACACATAAGAAACGAACACGGAGGGGTTGAGCGACAACGCCTTATCCTTTTCAAGGATCACTGGGCCGAGTTTTTCCTTTTTCTTTACTTCCCTAATTAAATATTCATCGAGAGGACATTTGCTTCTGTTGAAGATCCTAAAAACTATTAAACAAAAAAATTCTTTCCAACTGGGTTGCATTTTGCTACCCCGTTTCGAGACATGTTATCCTTATGCAAATGCGTTCCTCGATCCTGCAACGTCTGCTCATTAGATTTCCGTTAAACTTTTATGCAAATCATTCAGCTCCTTGCAGCGCTTGTGTGTCATCTGTTTTCAGGACACGCACAACGCGCTCTTGCTCCGGAATGCGGTCTTGAAATATTATACAATATTTGTTTTGCTGCTGGCACAAGGATCAAAATTATGGTATTATTTTACCAATTTGTCAGTGTAATGTAAACCCTTTTTTCTTATTTTTTACATGGCAGGCATGAAATCACTGAAAGTTCCTTGTTTTTTTTTGGGAAACTTCTTTGTTTTCTTTTGTCCGGAAAGGGGAGTTGGGTTTGCTTTCGCCCGGGTTTCTTTTTTCGTTGCAATCAAGTGCGGGTCTTGATTTCTGTCAAGTCAGATTCGGGACATTGTGGGAAACTGAATTCAAGTTTCAGTTTCCCAGAATGCATCCCGTTCTGGGATCAGCATGCTGGATAGCCTGCTTTGTAATTCAAAGTTTCTTAATTTTAAAGAGGATTTTATTTAGCTGGAGGTAAACAGATGCGGATGAAGGCTCGATTGTTAGGGAAGCTTGGGCTGTGATCTGTTTATAGATTAATGACACTTAAAATGCATCTGATAAGGAACACGTTCTTCAGTAGTTAAACATTTTAATGCATTATTATATAATAACCCCGAAAAATAATAGAAAAATACAATTTTTCTAGAGTTTAGAGTTTTAAATAGTAGATAATTAAGGATACTAATAAATAATTAGTTATTTAAAAAGCTGGCTCTTAAAACTAATTTCAAGAACTCCATCTATCAAGAAGAAGTCGACATATCTCGAAGAAAAGCGATCTTCCCCTCTATCATCTATCATTTAGTTTTTAGCATTCAAAATTCATTCGCGGTTTGTCCTTTGTCCACTTACCCTCCTCCCGTTTCACCAATGGGTTATGCTTTAATTCATTTTGTCATGGATCTAACCAATTGCATGATTAATTACATACCCTGACCCTCTTCTTGGCCAATCCAAAATGTATATTTCCCTGATGATAAATCCCGCCAAGTCACCGCGAAAGTGTTGTGCTGGATTAACCCTTCTCTCGGCTGACCAGGGGTCAGCTAAGTTGCTTGGAAATATGAGTGTTTGTTAAGGTCCTTCTGGGATTTGTCCTCTGGCATGTTGTTTGCATGTCATTTATTAAAAGAAGAGCAGTCCTGATGTCCCAAAAGTGGATAGGACTTGACTTAATTTTGAACGATTATTAGGCAAATTGTAATTTGTCAGCTTTTTCTGTACTTCATTTGTTCCTTATAAAAGTATTCCCCGTTAGATTTTAAACTTCTAGGAAACCATAATCAAAATTGCTTGAAAAAATTTTAACAATTACTTCGGGCCATAAGAAAAAAAATTAAATGTTATCCAAAGACTTGGGGGAGAAATGAAATGAAAAAAAAAATGAAAGAAAAGAAAAATAAAATGAAACAACAATGCAGCGTATTACACGGGAACAGCGGTGAAAAAGTTACACCTGGACCCACGCCAAGGTCTGAAAACTAAAGGTGTTTCGGTTTTCACCAGACGGCCGTCGAAAGATTACGACACATAAGCGCAGGACTTTGTAGGGTAGGCCAAGAGTAGCCAAGGAGAGAGAGTGAGAGGCAGACACAATGGGGCACCAGGATATACATTGAGGTTGACGACGCAGCAGAGGTTGTCGCATAACAATCGAAACGCTTCTTGACTGCTTTGTATGTACCCATAACTTGATGAGGAATTGCATCATCTGTCCCTGGCGGCGACCCATGGTCTCCCTCCCAGTGAGATTTCAAGAGATGTTTTGGGTGCCTCGTGGGCTGCTTTTGAAGGAGCAGATCGTCAAGATTTTCGAGATGCAGCAGCAGCTGCCTCCTTGGACTTAAGACTAAATCCTTGAGGCGGCGGCTTAAGGGCAACAACCCAGTTTAACCCTTGTTAAACTTAGGATGCAACCCTCTCGTTCTTCATACGTTTATTTGGTCCAGATTTCAGCCCACTTTACAGTTCACTAATTTCTCACACTCACTAGGCCGATCTTTCATTTTGGAAGGAGGAATCCATCATGTCATAAAGTAAACTGGGAAAATTTTGTGCATAATCTTTGTGATTCCTTAACGCTTGACCAAGTCCAAAACGGCAGATGCAATGTCCACGCACCAAAAAGAAAAGTGAAGTAATAAGGCTAGAGGAATGCCCATTGTGTGCGTGGACCTGGCTTCTTAGGCCATTGCACGCTTTGATTTTAATTACATTGCATCTGGATGCCTTGACATGTGTCCATATCCATGTCCATTTTCATTCGACGATTGCCATTGCCGGTTACCTACATCACATCTTCAACCGGAGGGTTGTTGCAGTTCTGTTGGCCAGAAGAATAAGAAATTAAATTTGTCATGCGTCTTGGACCTTCCTGTCTTAAATTTACCCCCGACCCCAGGAGGGGAGTTCTTATTATCTGTATGTTTGTCGGAAAGGCAAACCTACTCAGACAATTAAAAATGTCACATAAATATTGCAACGTTTTTTCCCTCATTTTTACGCAAGAAATTATGTGAAAATCTTTAATGAGCAGAGGGGGTTGGTTGATATCGTTAAGCTTTTACGATTTGTGAGATTGACTGTTAAGAAAGTTGACGAAATACATCCGATATTTGATGAATATCACAATTTTAAATGGTCTGCAGTTTTTATTGATCAATAAAAATATCAATTGCAATAGTAAAAATAAGATAATCATTAAAACATTTCGCGAAATTGTTTCGATTTTTATTCTTTATGTAAGAATATATCTTAATTTGAAATCTTATATTCATTTAATGGTGGATCAGATTATTTGACCCCAAAGTTTGTGTACGGGAAAAATGATTAGATTTAATATTTTCCGGGTGGATTTTTAAGGAATCTCTATTTTAAAAATCAACCCATAAATATTGTAAACTACTTTCTTTATTATTTTCTTTATTTATTTAAGAAACAATTTTAAAACAATTCTATTAAATCCCTTGGCTTTCCTATAAGAAAGTTTTTTTTATCTTAAACGGATTGTTAAAGCTTATCCAATGGTTATTTGAAAGAAATGCTTTCTAAATCTTAATCTTTCCCTGTACTTTAACAATCCAAGCGTGACATCTGTGTTCCATATTGTGCACAATTTTTTACTTTATGGACTTTCTGATCTTGGCTTCTGTTTTCCATCATCTGTCTGCGAGAACAATGGTCAAGCATCTCAATTGTTTTCGATTTTCGTTTCCATTCCACATTTTATTTTTTTTTGTCATTTTCGTGCTGTAATCTTATGAGTCGTTCTCTGGTCTGAGGTTTCCATTAGGCTCGCTCTACATTTGGCTGCAGCACCGCCCCCCTTCCCAGTCCTCTGATCCATGCCAAAAGATAATTTATTAGAGTTGCTTCCAAGATGCAGGAGATTTTTTAATGCAGTCTGCATGCAGCTCGAGCCAAAAGCTATAATACTCTAGCAAAAAGTAATTTATATACTCTCCTATGTACTATTATTATGTACTGTGAGTTATGTGTAGGTAGTGATTTTCCGAAAACGTCTTGCGTCTGTCTACCTGGGGACGCACAGAAATGTTGACAAAAATAATTGTAAAAAGGATCAGGGGGATTTGTTGTTGGGCTGATAAACACCCAGAGGCGAAAAATGCATTGCAAAAACAACAACGTCGTCGGGGTCTCCTTCTCAAGGAATACGGATATCTTCGGGAACTACCCCCGAGAGAAAGAGATGGCAAATGGGTTAGCGATCCTGTTTTTACCGCTGTCGCTGCAATCGTAGTAGTAGAAGTAGTAAAGCAACCCCTATTTTTGAGACCGTTGCATTCGTTGAGCAGGATAAGGACGACGATCGGGGATCTCGGGGTTCGGGGATCGGCGATCTGGAACGAAGAACGTTGAGCTCAGTTGCACAGCGCACGTCAACGCGATTGGTACTCAATTAAGCCAAGAGCGGAGTGAACAAACCAAAAACAAAATATAAAATTAAATACCTATACAGCTGAAAGACATTGAAACCCAAACTGAAATCTACATTTTTCGTTGCCAAGTAGCAAAGTTTTAAGACTGAACAAAATATTTATAATCGACAGACTACGAGTGCAAAGAACTAATTTAAGAACCGGATTTGCCAAGATCACCCACCAACAACTACAATATACCAAAAAAAGCGAAGCCAAAAATGTTTTAAATGTTATAACCAAAAATCTCTGTTTGCACAATTATTTAATCATACCAAAGAAACAAATTATATCCAAAGAGACTGCTACTAAAATTTGAAACAACATCAAAGAAAAAAGTGCAATAACAATTTTGTTATATTGATCAAATACCAAAAACCAAAAAATCGAAGAAAGATAAAAAGTAAAACGAAACCAGTTCCCACGAGAATACCGAACTAAAGTGCTATTGTATTATCTTCATGCGAACACCAAGTCCTTGATCTTTTGTCTGATCTCCTGGCTCTCATTTTGTGCGGGTGCATTCGGTCCAGCAACGGTCTATCTATCAAGGATTACGAATTTTGACAGGCGTGCCCACATAAATTTTTCTGATCCTTTTTGGCTAATTATATTCGGAGCACGTTTCTAACACCGCCACCCGTGTGATCCAGTCATTCACTTGAGTATCCTTTCCATTCTGTTCATGTTATTATGAAGTTGGAACAGAAGCGCAAATTTATTGAAATGGTAACGATTGTTTGGTTATATTTTGCTCTTTTCATATTTAATTATAAGAAATATCTTAAAAATATGAGAATTATTTACATTTTAATTGCTTTACTTTTGTATATTTTCTTCTTGATTTGTTTTGATACAATTATTAATGTTTTGTTTCTATTTTAGGACCCCGAACTCGGTTTTGAGCTCCCATCCGCCAAGCGCCAGCAGCGACTGCCCGCTTTGTATGGCAGCGATCAGAGCAACATATCGTCGGTGGCATCCTCGGTGTACACCTCGCCCGTTGTCTCGGCCGATGGACAGAGCACACAGGAGCTACTTAGCATACGCAGCTCACCAGCCGAGGAGCTGCCGGAGGCGCCACACAGTCCGCTGCCGGACAGCCCGGACAGTCCGCCGAGTCCGGATCGCGGAGCCAAACAGGCGCCTGTGGTGGTGCGCTACGGAGTGCAGGAGGAGGTGAACCCTACAGTGGTTACGCAAAAGGCGGAGGATGGTGATCTTTTGGATGACAGCTGCGAGGATTACTCGTATGACGAAGATGAGGAGGATGATATCGATGAGGAGGAAGATGATGAGGAGATCTACTCGTCCACCATTTCGCCAGCCTCCTCGGGCTGCAGCCAGCAGCAGGCAGAGAATGGAGAGCGTACCCCCGGTCTACAACAGCACCAGAAGCAGAATCAGCCTCCGGTCAGTGACTTGATGATCCATATGCCTGCACCAACCAAGATCCTGGATGATGTGGCAGCCTTTAGCTGCATGTCTCCGGCTGTGGAGAACGGCCTACGCCAGTGTCCACTTCCTGCTCTGGCCTGGGCCAATGCCGGAGATGTTTGGCGCCTGATGTGCCATCGGGATGAGCAGGACTCGCGCCTGCGAAGCATCTCTATGCTGGAGCAACATCCCGGTTTGCAGCCACGCATGCGCGCCATCCTCTTGGACTGGTTGATCGAAGTCTGCGAGGTGTACAAACTGCATCGGGAGACCTTTTACTTGGCTGTCGACTATTTGGATCGTTATTTACATGTGGCGCACAAGGTCCAAAAGACCCATTTGCAGCTGATCGGCATCACCTGTTTGTTTGTGGCCGCCAAGGTGGAGGAGATCTATCCGCCAAAGATCGGGGAGTTCGCCTATGTGACGGATGGTGCCTGCACAGAGCGGGACATCCTCAACCACGAGAAGATTCTGCTGCAGGCGCTTGACTGGGACATCAGTCCAATTACTATTACCGGCTGGCTGGGCGTCTATATGCAGCTGAATGTGAATAATCGTACTCCGGCTTCATTCTCTCAGATTGGCAAGCAAAAGTCGATGGAGGCGGACGATGCCTTCATCTACCCGCAGTTCTCTGGCTTCGAGTTTGTCCAGACATCTCAGCTGCTAGATCTATGCACCTTGGATGTGGGCATGGCCAACTACTCCTATTCGGTACTGGCAGCGGCCGCCATCAGTCATACCTATACTCGGTGAGTTAGTTTAAAGATTCATTCTATATGAAATTTTTATATAACTGTGAATATTTTCCTTAATTAGTGAGGCGGCTTTGCGTTGCTCTGGTCTGGATTGGCAGGTCATTCAGCCCTGTGCCCGCTGGATGGAGCCCTTCTTCCGGGTGATCTCCCAGAAGGCAGCCTACCTGCAGCTGAACGAGCAGAACGAGCAGGTCAGCAACAAATTCGGCCTGGGCCACATCTGTCCCAATATTGTCACCGACGACTCACACATCATCCAAACGCACACTACCACCATGGATATGTATGTAAGTATCTTGAAAGTTATATATAAACTTATATAACTGCAGTTAAAAGTGGATAATGATATTCGATGGAGATCGTAAGAAGTCGGTTACTAATTGAAACTTGTATTCTTTCAGGACGAAGTTCTGATGGCTCAGGATGCGGCGCATGCGATGCGAGCTAGAATTCAGGCATCTCCGGCCACCGCGCTGCGCGCTCCCGAAAGTCTGCTGACGCCTCCTGCCTCTAGTCACAAGCCGGACGAGTATCTGGGCGATGAGGGCGATGAGACGACGGTCAGAAGTGGCATCTCCTCCACATCCAACTGTTGCACCACTACTAGCAACAACAGCATCAGTAGCAGCAATCCTGCGACCAGCTGTAGCAGCAGGAACAATCGCTGAGAAATTGTCCTCCCTGCTCTTGGTCATCATTCTCTCACAATCACCATACCCGCCCAAACAGTCTCTACGTTTAAGTGTTTCTAATATTTAAATTATTTTTGTTAAGTGAAAAGTTATTAGATGCCTAATTCCTATGCTAAAAACATAATTTAATTTGAAAGTTTCCACGCGCTTTTGTTTCTCAACACGCGACTTATATATTCATTTTCCTCGCTCAGTTTAATGTTTAATTTTGTGTATTTATAGAAAATCAGAAATATAATTTTAAATGTACACTATCTATAAAGCACACAAACCTATTATATATACACACACAACTAGAGTATAGCAGACAAGGCAAAACTGAAACTGAATTAACCATTAACCATTAGACCAATACCTGCTGAAAAGGAGCATAACAAAAATCGAACTTAAAGTGCTTTGCTACGGGCACAAACTTTACAGCACGTCTCAAAAATGAAAAAACTAAAAACTGTGTTCGCAATCAAACAATGTGTCCAGCTGTCAACCAGTCAGTTGTCGTCAGTCAGTCATTTAATATCAATCACCGAGAGCAATCACTAACAAACTAAAATTGACGATAAAGGAGAGGGCTCAGCAGCAGCCCAGAGCAGAGTACTTGACTAATCAACTAAAATTAGCCTATAAGTCGAGGGAATCTAAACTAAACCTACTAATGCTAAACGCTGCATTTCATACGACAATTAATCCTACTAACAAATTAATCAACAAACACAAGACAAGTCCATAAGCTGACATGGAGTGACAAAGAAAATGGCAATTGAAGAATATAAGAGTTATATAAACATGAATTGAACGCTCAGAACAGATTAACATTTATGAATATTTACGTCATTGTACAATTTTTTTTAATTTAGACTAATTTGCCATAATTTGCTAAGCAAATAAATCCTGTACATAGAGCAAAACACACACACACAAAAAAAAAACAAAACGCACAAAAACAAGAATTAACCATAACTGAAACGCATATAATATATTATTATATAAGTGTACAATTCTATATATGGCTTACAACAATTTGATGTACATTCAAAAGGCACGAACGCAAATTAGAAAAATATTATTAATCGTTAGTTTAGGCATAAATAACATGTAAGTGTTCATACGATTAAGGCTGGAATGAAAACAGAAAAACAAACAAAAAACAACAACTAAAGGAAAAGCACACAAAAAAATCTTATCTATTTATGTTTTATTTGTAGTTTTTAAAAGCAATAATCATTTTAAAAATATGAATTTGATTTTAAATAATTTCACTACTACGCTTATGTTCATGATTTGATGTTAATAAATAAACAAACGCAAAATCATAAACTATACAAATCAAGTTGAATTGAATGAGTAAATAAATATATTTTTTGTAAATAAAACTGAAATTCAAATGTGGTATTTCTTATGGGCGCATGGATATTTCTTGGTTGACTTTACGAAAGTTATAAATATGGCAGTTATAAAAGGAGAAAATATTATCTTCTAAATATCTATATAAAACTAATCTTTATTATAGCTGAGAAAAAGTAAAATCAAAAAGAGGAAATATGACAAAAATATAACGAATTTTAGATACATTTCAAATTATGCCGCCCAAAAATAACTGGTTGCTCTTTAACCCTTATCGATAGCTCTGTAAACTGTTAACATTCTGTAATGCTAGCATAGAGGGAGAGGTTTACAGTGGCCATCGGGTCATCTGGCAGCTCCAGAATAAAGCAACCCCAACGGTCTTGTCCAAAATTGCTGTTGAGAGGAGACTTTTTCGAATTGAATGGCGAGGAATCGTGCCCCAAGAGCTAGCTTACATGCCCCAAAGAGCACGCTCAGTTAGTGGCGAGAATCTGGCGAGTGTGGATGCGTTCCGAAAAGAAACCGCGTCCAAACAAAAATTCATTTCTGCCCAATGCAATTCGCAACACCGACAAAAAAAAAAAAAATAAATATCAACTTGAAGTGCAATATTAATTGTTACACGAAAAAGCTTAAAGTGTTTTTGGCTGTCAAAGAAGTTGAGTGCTATAGTTCGAAAATCTTTGTATACCCCGCAGGATATCTTCAAAATCCAAACTTTGGAAAAAAATCCAATACAGATATCTGTGTATATGTATAATGTCGGTACGTGTGCGTGTGCCTGTAGTAGTAGTGGTGGTGGTGCAATAATTGTGAGCGCCAAAAAGCCGAAGAGACGAAGCCGCGCAGCCAAATAAATCTCTCGTCTCTCCTTTGGCGCTTCTCGTTTTCGCGTACCGTCGCTTTCCTTTGCTTTCTCCAGTTCGAAAGTCGCGTAGTAAAAAGTGTCGGCATATCTCCGCCTCGCTGCACCACCCACTCACTTAACCACTGAACCACTCAGCCACTTGGCCACTTTGTTTTTGGTCAAGTCTTTCGCATTCTCGACTTCGAAATTCGAAATTGCGAATTTGGCGCGCACCGGAGCATCAAGTAAGTGAGAGAAAGGACGAAAAAGAATGTGAGAAAGAGAAAGAGAGGGGAGAGAGAGAGAGAGCAGGAATCCTTGTCGAGAGTCTCCCCCTTGATTGCACAATAAAATGGGCAAAACAAAAAGCTAAATATCTATCGAAAGCGTGGTCGAAAATAACCAAAATTCCCACAAATTGGTAAAAGTTTCAATTGATAAGAGCATAAATCAAAAATCGAACATAAACGTGTCTGTATGCATATAGGTGTGTTGCATTCTGTGTGTGTGTACGTGTGCGTGTTTGTTAGGTCCTTGCGTTTTGCGCGCCCAAAGAAGTATGCTACGCTGTTTTACTATTTACTACTACGCACGCTCCCCCAAAAACACACCGACACCAACACTCACACTTGCATGGCCAAATGGCACATAATAACGGCTTATCGTGTACTATAGCCACGCAGCTTACGCAGCTGCGTAAAATCTCAAGGCTTGACCAATACCCCGTAACCTCTGGCTGGCCTTCCAAACTCCCAAATCCCAGGCCCCCCAAATCCTCCCAAGAGTCCTGCCGCTGCAGCTTTGTAAGCTGTTTACCCACATAAATATATAGACTGTACATAAATCGATGTCCGGGTGCGTTTGTGATGGGCTATATATAGGATATTATTCGGTTTTTGTTTGTTCGGAGTCTGATAAAAAAACTTGGTATTTAATTTGAACGTAACATCCCATTCTATCAAAGAAAATCGATAGGATAAAATTTCCATTATGATTCATAACTTTGAATGCTTATATTACAGAGGGTTGGATTGGTAAAAGAAATGTTTTGCGTCAAGTAAATAACATTAACTTAAGTTATCTGAGTGTAAAAGCCAGACTTCTGGTAGTTCCATAAGATTAAGGTTCAGATGCAGTATTTTAGTATTAAATATTAAGAAATCAAAGGTTTAGTTATTAGTTCTTAACTTTCATGGCCAACTTCCAATGAATACATAGCCTTATAGATATTTCTTAAAATTTTCCATCGGTCTATTAACAAACTTTACGTATAAATGATGTCAAATTTCTTCAGACAAATTTATTATGAGTTGGCAAAAGCTCACATTAATGATCACATTATAATCAAAACTCATGAACAACTAAAATCCAGAAGGGTCTTTCAACATATAACAATAAATATGTCATGTGGGCTGCTTAAGAGCTAACAGATTTATAACTTATCAACATTTTCTATTGCCAGACGCAGAGACATATCCGACTTTGGTTGTAAAAAAGTTTTGTACGTCGCCTATTGAAATTTTCACAGGCACATTAATTCCATTACGAAAACTCCCAAGGCCATATTGCTTTTAAGCTGCCGCTGCTGTGGGCCAAACAAAACCAAAAAGTCAGGCCAAACATAAAAACGGCAAAGGCAAACAAAACAGAAAGGCAAAATGGAGGGGTGTTGGTGTGTTGGTTGAAATCGGGATGGAAAGGACGAATGGCCAGGATGGGGAAATGGAAAAAAGAATGGCAGGAGCTAGCGATATATGCGATATAATAAATCTTTTGTATAACACGCAAAACTTTATGAACGTGCGCCAACTATAAACTTTCACTTTCCAACAATGGGTTCGTCCGCTTGACGTTGCCTGATGCCAGCTAACGTTGCGTATACGCCATGTTGCACATGATTTTATTTTTATTATCACTATTACTTTGTTTCATTTTTTTTTGCCCCACCCTCGACCTCTTTTGGAAAAGGCTATTTTCATGGCGTAATCGTAAACGAGACTTTCAGTTTGGATGCAGGGTATATAATAGTATTTTTGATTTTAGTAAATCGGTTCTTGAATTGAACTTAGTTAGGAGTAGCTAGTACTTAAAAGAAACATGGAAATCTTAACTATCTAGAAATATAGTTAGCTGAAATCAGAATAACCATAATAATTCTACATCAATTGAAGTACAAAATCCAAAATATTATAATAGTATATTTTATATAATAATTATCCTTATATAATATCAAAAATACAAAAATTCTTATTCTTTACAGTATAGATAAAAATAGTTATGTGGCATATGAGGCATTGGCTAGTTTATGGTTAAAGTTGCCCGCTTTTCAGGGCTTGCAGCAGAGTCGTTGACTTTTTGCTGGTTCTACATGTGGTACCGGTTCGAAGTCGCATCCCCAGCGTGGATGGCGCTCCACTTCTGTCAAACTTTTTGATGTTGTGGCAGATGAGGAAACGGGGGAGGGAATCAGAAAAGCGTGCGAAATCCGGTTATATACACACATATATTTAGATGTGCGGAGGAGGTGGGGCCTATGTATATATGGACAAACATATATGTAAGTGCGTATTGGCCGCAATAAATTGTCTTTCTTTTCTTCTTACGGATGTATGGTTGTATGTTGTTGGCCAGAAGACCAGGCAAAGGCTTGCAGCGTGTTTAATGAAAATTATTACGCGATATCCTTGGGGACGCACACAAGCATTCGCTCAGCAGGATGTATGGCAATGTGCGCCTTCTTTTGGGGGGTGGCATGCCCATACAAAAAGGGACGATTCTCTGGCGAATACCCAAGTACGGGTGAATAAGTGAAGCCGCCTTCCCACACTGCGCATGTACGCCAGATTCGAGTTCGAGTTCGAGCTCGAAAACATCCCGAAGTTGCTCCTGTCTGTATGTGTGAGTGAGTGAGTTATGCTTCTGCATCAGTATGCGTGTTGGGCGGTGGGTGGTAACGCATTTCTAGGTCAAATCCAAATGAAGCCAGGGAATCAGCCCCAGCCCGTTAGCCCTCCCTTCCCCACCAATCCACAATCAAAATCGTAAAAACATATATTGCAGAAATATTTCTGGTCTGTTTGTGAACCAAAAGAAAACTATTCGTAAACCAATTCTCTTTGCCTGATATACGAAAATAAATATTGCAGGGCCGCAGACCAAATTTTGGCATACTTTAAATAAGTTTTCGTAAAAAAATATTTAAATACATAATCATGGTCAAAAGCAACATAAATTCGAAACAATTTCGATTCTCCTGGTAAGGATCCCTTTTTGGTCTATTTATTGTTCAGGATTTACTATATAAAAATATTTTGAAACGAAATAAAGTTAAAGTTAACTAAGCAAGAATTTATTATTAAACCTATTAATATTTCAATATAAATTCTTATTTTCATTTCAGTTTTAAGGCACATTTGACCAAGCCACATATCAAACTACAAGCTCAATTAAAATTGGTTACCAAAAAATAAAAACCGGCCAAATAGCTTTGCAACAATGTTGAACATAAACAGTAAAAGCAATAAAGACTTTTGGCAACAAAAAGTGTCCGGCTTCGAGGCTTTCATATCAAGTATATGAAAACGAACAAATTCGGAAGTTAAAGTTGATAAAAAAGTGCATTGCAATCTTTAGTAATGCAATAATATTTAAAATAAAAACATAAATAAAAAAACGCTTCTGATGCTGCAAAGAACATTATTCGTAAAGTGTAAAAGGTGAAAAATAGATCAATTAAAATAGAAATTCTATTTAATTTGTGAACTGTTCTGTGGTGTTTATCCGAGCACAGGAACAATAAAAAAAATTACACATTTCGAAAATTGAAAAGCAATCGATACTGGTGGGGCAAGCCGCAAACAAGGGATTTAATCGTGAACTATCCAAAAACAAATTGATCCACATAAATACGCACACGGACAGCAAAACAAGCAAAAATGGAGAGCAAACATTGGAGCTGCTTTGTGGCCATTGTGCTGGGCGTGCTAATATTCAAAATGCACATATTTGTTGCATTCGCCGATCAGGACGAGGATATACCGCACAACGAGTAAGTTTTATTCATCATCATCCTGCTGTTGGATGACATCCGACTGCCAACAAAACCAACAGTTTCAATTATGCATTTGCCAAATATTTTGCCAATTTCCTCGGACAGGAAATTAATTGTAAATTTGTTTATTCTGCCCGAAGCGTTTCAACAGCGTTATCCTCTGCTCATTGTTTTATCAACATATATACATATATATAATTTACCACGATTTCTCGTCAACAATTTAACAAACAAACTGCTAAAACATATATGCAAATTTAATTTGTTTTTACTTTTAGCTGGCCGAAATTCGTTGGTGTTTAGTTTTCCGCTAAATAATTAAGATGAAAAGGGTGTTGACTTGAAAAGCGAGATGATTATAAATATTAGTCTGAGTTTAAACAAGTCAATAAATTTACAAAAATAAATATTTTAAAAGTATTTGTTTAATAACTTATATAAATACATTATGTTTATGTTTAAAGTATCCTTGCCAAATGTCCCATAAAGTTTTAGTTTTGTAATTATTTGATATACAAATGTGTTCATGCATCATCAGGATTTTATGTATACCAAAATCTCTTGTGTGAAACTTTTGCCATTCGTATGCCTTTATAGACCGATTTATTTATGATTATTACTTTGTTTACCACACACAGGATTGGAATAAAATCAGCTCACTCCCTCTTGCTTGATTTTTATAGTTATAGTTATCGTTTTCGTACACAATACCATATTGAAGGGCTAGTTTCATAGGCAGTTTCATTAAAAATGTTCATAAATGAAAAATAATGAGTGACAAAATGCCATCAACGAAAGAAGTCCTTTCCCATTAAGTATAAGCCAAGATGTTTATGAATTTTATATATGTATGCTTAGATGTGGGAATTCGAATTCTATTAGTTAGGAGGGTCTGACTTTCAGATGTGGTGACGCGATACTTTTGTGCCTGACGGTACGGTGTGTGCGTATCTAATGGATATATAATAGGATTTTGCAATTAGCTTCACACGGTGAATGGTGGGTGGGTGGTTGGCTGGTTCGGTGGTGCAGAGAAAGGCAACACACGTAACCGCAACGTTCACTTGGCTAATTAACCCAAAAACCAACTGCCATTTGCAGGCAAGGACAACTGGCGGCTGATGGGAATTTCAGTGGGTTGGGAAAGACCAGAAACCGGAACAGACACACTAAGTGATTTTTTTTGTGGGTCCTGTTTTTGTATCTAATGTCACTTTTATTTATTGAAATTAGTTTTGGCATGTGGTTTTTATGTTGAAATTCAATTAGTTATTTGTTGAAGCGTTTCTTCCTTTCTGTTTGTATGTCCATGCTGAGCTTAGTATTGAAATACAAGTTTTGTCCTTAAAGGTCATCTAACGGGAGACACTTCTAATAAACGTATCCTTTTTGTTTTATTCTGGACACAGACACTTAATATGTGTCTAGATTTACTTTAAATGGATTTAATAGCAGACTATTTTCTAAAATTTATTCTAAACTCTATTATAAAGGTCATTTGCCATGAATTATCCCATTCTCATAACCCAACTCGCTGGCTTCTCGTCTTTTCTTGTCCTTCTTCGACTGCTGACATGTTGTGGCACATGCGTAAAATAAATTTCATTAATTTGAAAAACAAACTTTTGCTTTCGCTGTTGGCCGGATTTCTTTCGACTCAACTCAGCTCGACTTGAGTCGCCTCGGCTCTTCGCTTCTCTAGTGTCCATGTTGCCATTTGCTTTATGTCACTGCAGAAATTCAATTAAATTTATTTCAACTTTTGCTGGCAGGCAGCAAAAACAAGCAGACTGGGCGAGTTGCTGCCTTGAGGGTCCAGCTTTGACGATTATGTTTTGGCATGGCCTCACGATGATGACGATGATGAAGTTGGTCCTGTTTCTGGATTCTGGCCCTGTTGGTGGCAATGGTCCCGTGCGATACTAAAGAGTCGGACCCATTGCTTTTGCTTTGACCCAAATCCCTTACTACATTGTGGGCGAAGTCGAAAGCGTTGTTTTCCCCTTGCCTAGACCGCTTTTCCTTTGGCCTGGCCTTCAAGGATTCAACGGGTTTTTCCTTAGGCCGTCCGCTCTTCCATTGCCTCTTGTGCCACCCATTCATTTGCCTCATTTTCAGTTGCAGTTGTAGCCATCGCCATCGCCATCGCCATAGCCATTTTAATGCATGCCTCGTTTGCTTAAGCATTCTCATCTTCCATCCTCCCTTCGTTCAAAGGCAGTTGCATTGACAGCGTCTTATGGGTCACGTGCCTTGGCCAGAAACTTTAAATGGAGGAAAAGGGGACAGGCTGTGTCAACAGGATTGTTACATGATTCCTTTTCTGGCACGGCCTGCCGATGAGCGATCGATTCTGGGTCTCACCAACTCGCCTGGAAATTAATCGAACTAAGGAAAAGAAAGTCCTTGTGCAAGTTTCTATTTTTAATTTCAGTAATTTTTACTCAAGTTTTTGACAATTTAAAACTTGGTTAGTTTAAGACTTTTAAGTTTAAAGGGATATTTTAACTCTAATCATGAATGAATCTTTTTTATATTTTCCGCTAGTAGTTTTTTTTATTCTGGGGTATTAACTGCTAGCTTCCTCCCTCTTTTTATTTTGTGTTCTTTTTTGTGAAATCTGCAACTGGCACATTTGCTGCTTAAAACAATTTTGCATTCGAAACAATGTGCTGTTTTTCGCTCGGGTGTGGCAGATCTAATTACCGTCGGGGCAGCTTAAGTGAATAAATAAAGCAAAATCAACAACAGCGGAGCAAGGCAGAGCTCTAACTACTTATGACAAATGACAGTGAAAGTGCATTAAGCAGAAGTTGAAGAGACACAAACAGAAGCGACATCAGTGCCACGTCTGGCGCATTATTTTGGTTTTTATTTTCCACCTACCGCCAGGCGTAATTCTTTTATTTTATCTAAGTGGATTTTGAACTAGCGTGGAACAGAACAAATTAATTAGCTAAAGTTGGATTGAGAGACATGTTATAAGCTGAGATTAAGATCCACAATTGATTTCCGGTTTTTCGATTTTATATTGGTTTTAAAAATTCAAATAATTTTTTGTCTTTGCCTATCTCCACATCCACCTGTTCTTGAACTTTCATTTTAAAGATAGATAGTATTACAAGATTGAAATATAATTTCACTGGTATTGGTATTTGCTCGAAAATCTTAATAGCCCTGCACACGTCGAGTGCGCATTGAAGTGCGCTCTTGTGATTGCGCATTCAAGTCTGTTGGCAGCGCCAGAAGAGGACTCATTTCAATTTCAATGATGCAAAATGGCAAAAACCCATTGACCTACTCTATGGAAGTACTAGTACTACTGCCATGACCAACAGCCTATTTCCACCTGCCTCGACATAAACCTGCCGCCCGAGAAAAGTGAAAAACTGCAAAGACAAACGTGATACGACCGAGGAGGTAAACAGTGTAAAAATGCAATGGAACGAAACTGGTTCGATGGCTTTAGGTGTACATATGTGGTACTTGAGCATGACTTACGTGGTTGGTTCGTGCTCAAAAAGCTGAGACAGAATAGAAAGTCACTACGAATACACCTGACTACAGGGACATACAAAGTTTTAGCCATTGTCAAGTTTCTGGCAAAGTAGCAAAAACGAAAAAAATGACAACAAAATAGAACAAAGATTCTCTGTGTAAAACAAAATGTGACTTTTTATTTTACTGGCCACCACAGGCAGCAGGAAGAGTCCAACGAATCGGTGAAAAAATCTCTTCTACTTCGGGCCAAGAAGATGACGTTGATGGCCTTTCATTGCTGTTGGCTGCTTTGGTCCCGATTTTCAATGTTGTTCTTGTTTCCTTGGATGTGTGTGTGTGTAAATGCATTGTTCCTCTGCTCTCTATAATATGTGTATGCATTTTGCACCCGAACTGAGTGGCATTTCCAACATAGTTTTTAATAGCACCAAAACTGAAAGAGAATGTTGTACTGGGCTTCTATGTTTTAAACCGAAATTTCGTTGCACATACCTGATGATAAATTTCATAGAGAATGTCCTGAAACGCATTTCAAGAATAAAGAACTTGGTATGTGGCATACTAAAGTTTAGTAAAAGTTATGAAAGTAGGTGGATATGTTTCAAGTCCTGGTTATATATTATTTTGTAGTAAGAAAAATGTATTTCTCAACATTATCTTCAATAATATTTATTGATGATCAAATCGATGATTTTGATTGGATTAAGCTTAACGTATCAGTTAACCCAATGCCACAAAAAAAACAAATAACACCCTTATAATACGTGCTGCCCGTTTAATTATCATCACTTGACCCACCATCGTCCACATTTCGCCAGCCCTTTGTTCCTGCCAGCCATCATCAGCATTATCCAATTTCAATCACTTTGTTGGCCACTTTATTTCTGCTTCATTGTTTACGCTTTCATTGCTGCGGGCCACGAAGATGCGGGAAGTGCTGCTGGTTTCTGCCTCCTCGGGAGTTTCCGTTTATAATACAATTTTCATATAATTTAAATTCATTTTTTGGCATCGCTCGAGCCATAAAACTTTGTCTGTAGCCGCTTGACTGCAGTTGCACTTCCTTCCCATCGCAATCTGTTGTCCTTTTCCCACCGCCCAAAACTTTCCACCATCCTTGTTGGCCATATAGCATATAAACATGCGCTTATTTTGTATCTAGATGGTGGAGAGAAAGAGAGCTACGTACTCGTCCTCTTTTGGCCCGTTATGGTGGCTCGCCGCCGGCTCAACATAATCAACATTGCGTAAACGCAACGTTGCTGCCGTTCGAGTTTCCTTGGCTTTACCTCCCTTTTGCCACCGTATATTGATATTGCAGATAATGCCATAAAATTGTGCAAATATTTTTGGGGGCATTATTCTGCAAGGTCTTTACTCTGGCTCAACTTGACTTTGTGTTTTTTTTTTTGGTCGTACTTTTTTTAATATTTCATTTTGTTTCTACTCGTTCTTCTTTCTTCTTGTATCAACGCTCAGACTTTTGGTCCTCCTGTTTTATTTTCAATTTGCTGTTGCTCCAGTCACATTGCCCCTTCCCTGGGACTTGTTTTATGAGCACTCGTTGGACTGCTTTTGTTTTGCTTTTGACTTTCGCGTTTAGATTATAAATGTTTGGCAAATGTTTTCACAATAGTTGGCTGTTGGTCCTGTTGTTATCCCTCGACCCTTGAGACTTCTCCACTTCCTTTCCGTTGGTCTTCTGTAATGAGTTTTGCCGCTGTCTTGGGTGTTTCTCAAGTGAGTTGGACTTTTGCCGGGCTCTGCAAAATAGTTGATTTACCTTTTTCTTTTTGGTTTCATTGAAAACGTATTAGCAAATATTGCAGAAATATTTGTACAAAGAACATTTTCTTTAATGAGAATATTGGTTATTTGTTTTTGCCACTCAGCAATTTATTGCTTAATGAGAGATTTGTATGCATATATGTACGTAATGAGATGGAAATAATTTATGAGCAATTTTAAATCGATTTTAATTGATTTTTAATCAGCCACGTGTCGCTGAGTAGCAGAAGTGTCTGGCTAATGGCTTAAAAAATATTTAATGACTTAAGAGCAAGCAATAATTATAAATATTGAAGGCGCAAAGAAATAAAGACCTTACTTTAAGCTTAAAGTACTAAGCTTAAAAATCAAATTGGTAGTTTAAATATGGAAGTTTAATTCCACATAAATAAGAATTGAAAATTAAAAGTGTGTGTACACTTTTTATATATCCTACGAAAAATGACCCATATTATTTTTCTACTTATTTCAGGGTTCGCAATTGGGCCTTGAAGTTCGGCGTTGACTTGTGGGAATTTGGACGTCAATTCACCAAAATGAACGAGATCAAAAGTGTAAGTAATTACGTAGGCAATATGGCTAGACTAACAATAAATACGCTATTCGCTGGATGTGATAATATAGACATATGTATCTGATAAGCCTGACATGTGGGTACCGCCAATCGCAATGGTTAATGGCAACGATTGTCTGGTCTGGCTGGGTTTTAGTCGAAACAAATACACTTAAGCTCTTTGGCCACTTAGTTGAACTTATCGATAAGAAAGTATATATCGATAAAAGCTTTGAATGGCTCGGCTTAGTGGAAGCTTAACTAGCAAATGCGTCAATTTTTCGTGTTTTTCTTCGACGTACTTATTTGGTTCCTCCATTGTCTTGTTGTTTATTTGTTGTTGGCCCTAATGCAATTTAAACACAAATAAGGCTAATTGGGGGGGTGAAACCGTGGGTTAAGCGGGCTGATATAAGTATGTGCCTGGCTGCTATCTATGTTAATAAGCATGACTGTGTTTGGATTTGGTTGACTGCGTGGCCTGCGGTGAAAGATGGTGGCTTCTAAGGCGGCCACGAGTAGGTTTTCGCCAGCTTTTGGCCCTTCAGTCAGTCGCGTATTTTCGCGTTTAATCAGACGTGCATGAGTTAGTGGGTTGCTTTTATTGGCCGACTGTTTACGTCGTGATTATGTGCGAGGGAATTACGATTATGCGGAATTACAAGCAGAAAAGAGAGGTTCTTTAAATGCACTGCACCTTGAAATGGCTACATTTCAAATGAAAAATAAAGATTTATTTATTAAATTACAATTTGTATTATGATCAATGATTGAAAATATAAAAAATTTGTAATATTACTCGAACAGTTATTAAAATGATTAAACAAATAATTTATTATTAAAACAAACATCAACAGTTCTATTGGCTTTATTCAGTGGAAAGTATTTATATTTATAGTTTTCAAAAAGAATGGAATGATCCTGTTGAAAGCACGACAACCTTAAATAAGGGTATAAATATCAGGCATATTATACAGAGAAACTGGGAGGGGGAAGAGGAGAGAGCGAAGGACAAGGATCCTGGTGTGGCAGGGGGAACATGCGAGAAAAGAGAGCTGTGGAGGAAGCGACAGGATTCGGAGCCAGAAAGGCAGCTAAAATGCAAATAAATTTGCTGGCTGTGACTGTCATTGAGTCTGTAATTGTCAAGTGCCTTGTTGCTGTTGCTTTGCTGTATATACTAGTATGAATGTGTGTGCGTGTGTGGGTGTCATTGTTGTTGTCCTGTTCGTGGGTGCGTGAGTGTGGGTATATGGTCCTGTCGCTGACAACGTTTGTTTGTGTTAATTTAAAGCGCACGTCGCTTACAAAGGCAAAAAATGAAAACCTACGCCCAGATTGAATTAAATATCAAGTATTCACCGCGTTGTGTGTTTGGCGGAAATGGCCTGTGCCTTGTCGCTGGGTGTGTATATGTGTCCATGTATGTGCCTTATAAACATTATAGCATACCATTTTGTGCGTGTGAAAGTTGATCTGTCCCTACATTGGCTTGTTTTTTGTTTGTGTGTTGTTAGTGGTTATGTGAGTGCCGCCCTTTTTAACGCCTATCGCTTCGATATCAAACTTAAATGTCTTGACCAATAAATTGTGTGTGTATTTTAAAATTATAGACAAGCCACAGAAAAGAGAGCTTGCAGTGGCATTTATTAAGTGAGATAGCTGAAAAGTTCTAAAAAATTTTCGGTTTATGCTGATAACAAGTCCAAACAAATATTATTATCAATAAACAATTTAAAACAAGAAAAACTGTGGAGATGTTTTATTAAGATTTTTGTGGTAAAAAGAAATTACTTCCAATCTGCTTGTCGATCCATGGCTTAAACTCAAAAACATCTGTATATGTGCCGGGAATGTTTTTTTTCTTACAACCCAAGCCCCAGTTGACAATGCCAATTTGTTCGAATTGTTTGGGATCCTCGGTCATTGGGCAAAAGAGTGCTCCCCCGCCATCGCCAGTGCAGGCATCAATGCCTTCCTCGCCACCGGCACAGATTAGGCCAGCAGGCAGTGTATAGTTTTTGCCGAACTTGGTTTCTCTCAGCTGATCCTGGCACGTATCCCTCGGTACAATCGGAAGTTCTATTTTCTTTAAAACATTTACGAAATGTTTATCTCTGAATCTATTTTTACCCCAGCCAGCAACTATACACCGAGTGTTGTTGAGGGATCTTTTCTTGATGGGCAAGCAGATGGTATTAATCCGGTATGTTAGTTGATATTGACTATCTAGGAAGAGGAGCGCCAAGTTGTTGGTTCCATTCTTATAGTTAAATGACTCATGAACCACCATTTTCGATACGGATGCCTCCTCGAATGGATATTTGTCTAAGGCCTTTCCATATTGCCACTCGCCGGCGCTGACAATAATATCTTCTGGATTCTTATCATATATCCGATGGGCTGATGTGAGAACCACATCTGGAGCAATTAGAGAGCCACCACCAATAAAGCTATCATTATGGATAATGGCTATGGTCCAGGGATATTCGGCAGGTCTAGCTTGATCAGCAGTAATATTCAAGTCTAATTTCAGAGGTATTGGACTACCCTGACCGCATTTCGGCTGTTCATCTAGAGCATCCAGTTCCTATGTATAACAGATGTAGATTGCAGAGGAAAAAAAGATGAATTTTAATCATTTTACTGATATGCTTGTGATTTTGCAGTCATTTAAAATTAAATTTAAATGTAGTAAAAAAACATATTCTTTATTTTGTAAAAGATTCATTTACTTACATCTTCACTATCGGGAATGTTTTGAACATTTTCAGCGACGACATATATAATAGTCACCAGTAATAGAATCCAAGTGTGAAACATTTTTCGTATCCGAGTATTAAATGTAAAAGATTTTCTTCACAAATTCAAAATGTAAGCTAACTATTAATTAGCTTGTAAATAAATAATATATAGAATATATAAATTAAAAACAGAGAAATGTACTCGAACAGCCCGACTTTTAACGACTTGTATTAACGACAAGTTACAACTGAGCTTAGAATGAAAGAAAGCGGTGGTTACTGATAAGGAATTTATATAAACACATAATACTTAATACGCATTGTATTGAGATAAGGTGTTTGGGAATACATAAGAATATATATATATGTGTTTATATATATATATAAACACATAATATATAAATATATATATATATTTTATACGTGCGTAAGCATTTACAGTCACTTTATAGCAGTTGAAGCCTTGGAAATATTTTCAACGAAAAGGGAAACTGTTGTAATTTTTCTTGAAAGCTAATCTTAAAAAATAACAACATATTCTGATAGTAAATACTTTTTAAAGTTAAGTACAAACTGCTTTCATCATCATTTTCTTGTAATATTGCTGACACATATTTTTGTTGCTCCCGTTGTCCTTAAAAAAAGTTTTAAAATGTAATAAAAGGGGTAAAAACGAAAATTAAAAAGTAAAGCGGACAATGTGGTGGGTGTGGCCAGCCCCCATCTTCTTCTCCCTCACATTTCTTGTCCCCTTGTTTTGCCGTTGCTGCTGTTTCTTGTTTTGTTTTGCTATTTTGGGTAGATGTTTTTTCCATTTGGTATTTTAAATAAGGATAATAAAAAGTAAAACAAATGCAGCGCACACGTTCAGTTATGCCAAAGGCGTCGCAGGACAACAGGAACACCAAGGACAACAACAGCCCGAAGACAAAATGGCTGCCACGAATGAAGAACAGAGAAAGCAAGTAGAGAGAGATAGAGAGAGGGAGGGAAGAAAAAGGACTCGGGTGCGAGTGTCTGTGTGTATGCGGAATGCCTGTGCGTGGCGCATATTCATTTATTTTATTTTCCATACGCTTCTGGCTGGAAAGCGTTTAGCGCTGACTAGCTAAAAAAGTATCTACCTAAGCCATGAAATATGTTTAGCATACAGATACAGATAAATCGAAGATTAAATACCCTCTTTTAAAATATAAAATTAATGCAATACACTTTTAGTACAGTCTTTGTCATCTTGTTGAATAATAAAATGGTGAAAGTTCAAAAAGATTTTTTGATTACCAGGCGCCTCAAGATCGGTGACTCATGGAATGAACTCAGAGTCAGCCTTATCTCTTTCCCCATGCTATATTTATATATATGTACTTAAATTCAGATGCTGTCGCTTGGGCTTCTGATTAAATTCCTTATCACTTCTTTTGTAAATATGAACCTAGAAGAAAATACAAACTAGTTGCATTTGTCTAAATATTATTTTACGCGACCCAATCCAATCTCAACCGAAAAGACAAATATATTTGACAATAGCATTATGTACTTTAAATACAGTCAAATGGTGTCAACACTCTATGCGACGTGACAGTGAAGAAAGGGCTTTATCGACAAGATGGCAATACCAAGGGACAAAATGACTAGAGTTCTTGAGCTAGGGCGTATGTGCTGCCATTATTTTAAATGATGATGTGCAGCTAACGGTGGTGCTGCTGATCATTGTCTAACATCTGGGCTCTAACTTGCAGTGAAATATGGGTCAAACTCAAGTGAAAATTGCCTTCTGGCTCTCTTCTCGCTTTGCAGGCAAATAAATTTAACCGTGCTCTCATTTTGCACGTAATACAAACTTTTTAACAGCAAAAAAATATATATGAAAACAAAACTGGCGCGTGCTGTCGTTTTTCTTTAGCGTCCAGCATTCGCTTTCCCTCACAATTTTTCCATTTTCTCCGCCTCTATTTTATTTTTCTAGTCGACTTCCTCCCACTCTAAGTGGCATGCAAATTATTGTTGTTTTCTGCCGTTGCCAGCTTATTCTGCAGTTCTACTTGGCATTCTTTTCTTTGCTTATTGAAGGTAAAAGTAAACCATCTGCAAGTGGAGTTCATGTTCATAGGAAAAGTACTTAATATTTAAAGTTTCTTACGTTTTAAAAGGAAATTTAATTTAAAGTGATCAGTTTGTTCCATCATAAATATTAAAATAATATTATATTAAAATGTCTTCATATATTTCTTTTAATATTTTTAAGAAAAACAAAGAAAAAGAAACCAAAATTTTCATAATTTTGTAATGATTTCAACTGCATTGTCTTCACTGTCTAAGCAATTATAATTTTGGATATGCAGGAGCTGCCTCCACAAAATGCAGATTGCTGGTCATTTGTTTGGGAAAGTGGTTGCCCAGTACGCCGTTACCAGCTACACATCATCGTGCAACTCCCACGCGCCGATTGTGCTCCATTTGCCGGGTTTTAGTGACAAATACAAAGGCCTTGTTAAGGGCCTTGTGGCTAAAGTACGAGGGAGTGGGCTAGAGGGATCGAGTTGGTTTTGTGTGTTTGGCTAACTAAGTGTGTGGCGAACAGTGTTGCGGACTGCAAAGAGACTAATCGTAAATCAAGGCGACGACTCGGCGACGCACTTGAGGGGGCGGGGATTGGCTGAAATGGCATGGGGGGCAGCTCTACTCCTTCATGGGGCTACTTTCCACTGGCTTTTGTGCGGTCCAAAATGCATTCGGGCCACAGACCCACACAGTCCTTGATCCTCTCCAGGCATATAATATATATATGTACTATATAGTATTTATACGTATATATGTAGGTGTATAGCTAGGACTTGTCTATGCAAATATTTAAGTCTGTCGTTGTCGTTTGGTGGCGAAAATGCGAGCATGACATACAGCTGCCGGCAAACAAATGTTAAGTGGGGCGTAGACTTCTCAGAAACTGGTCCTTAATGAAAGTATAAAGCAAATTAAATATTTAATTTCATCAAATCCTCGGGGGGTATGTCCATTAAATGGATGCAGCAAATGCCAGGTAGGATGACTCAGCTCCCAGAAGATTATTTCCTTAATTAAGTACAGAATAATTAAATGGTGGTAGGCAAGTACCCTTCCTCGTTTCATATATATGTTGTTTTATTTTTTTTCTAAGTTTTTTCTGTAAATGTGTTAATTTTTAAAAAATTTGAAATTCAAAGTTTTGCCACATTTTAGCAATTTTTTCACTCGTCGGGAAAAGCTTTTCATATAGCAATTATAACGGACGAACTTTTACGTAGCCATTAAAAACAAGAAAAGCATGCTAATTAAATGCAGCTTTTGTGAAAATAATAATTGAGATTATCCATAAAGAGAAAGAAGATCAACAAACTATCAGAGAAAGCAGAAACTACAAGATTTAATATTACAAAAAACCTGTGGGGAAAATAAAAAATTCTGTGCTAAGAAATTAGCAAGAAAATCTCTGCTTCAGTGAACAAGGAAACATGCGCGTTGATGCGAGACATTGTTGCTCGCTTTTCCGAAGGAATGGGGCCCAAGACTCGCTGGTGGATTGAGGGTCTGAGGTTAGTGGAGTAGAAGGGTGACAGCGACATCTTCATTAAAATCTAATTAGCACATTTCCAGACCTAGCCACAAAATGCCAAAGAGTTACTCCGGTTTCGGAGCCCGCCGTGGTACTTGAGCGAACTATAACTTAGACAGGAGGAAGGCAGGAAGAAAGTCAATATGCCCAGCACTACAAGTGCACTGCAAGAAAAGTTAACTTAAAATATTGTATGAGCTGACAAGTGGAAATATCCCAATCAGCTTATCAACTTATTTGAACTTAAGACCTTGGCCTAAATATATTGTAGATAGGAAGTCGTCATAAAAAACAGAAATGTATTCAATACTCTGAATCATCTTATACATATTAGCATCAATATAAAAATGTATAGAACAACACATTTAATTGTTATAATTAAAAAATAATCTTGGGAAAAAACCCAAACTGGCAGGAAGTTTAAAAGTCTAAAAATTGTTTTTAGATGGAATGTGATAGCATTTTAATAGCATTTTAATCACATTCCACGACATTATCATTTTTGGATGACTTCTTGCCAGTAAGAAACCACACACTTTTCAACAATATAAATGGCGAAAAAAAAGAAAAAACATACGAAATCATTATGTTAGTTTACAGTGCATCGAGAATTTGTAAATTTGCATTTGTATTCTGTTAGAGTGTAGGTTCAGGTAGCCGTTTCTGCTGCATCTGCTGCTGCATGCGTAAGCTGCTTAACTTGAGCTGGAATTCAACAGGAGCAGAAGCCAAAGCTCAGGAATGCTTCTTATTCGCAGCTCCCCCCCTTTGGATGTCCTTGCTCTAGTTAAAGTTCTGCACCAGCTGCATACGCACCCGTCCGTTGGTAGGTGGGCGGTGGAGTGGTTGAGTGGTGGAATGGTGAAATGGTTGATGGGGACGGGTTGGTGGTGCAGGCGGTAGAGGTCCGCCGGAGGGCTCCTCCTTGCGCAACATTTTCAAATGCCGGAGTCAACCGCAAAATGAAAAAGTTTCTATGGCTGCTGTTGCTGCTGTACTCGCTCTTCGAGTGCTACCCATATTGTATACATATTGTATATAGTTTTTTGCACTACTACCCCCCTTTAAACTCCTACTCACCGCGGCAGGACACTCACACACACACACACACACTTTTACATACACGCGTGCGTCCTTCAGGCGTGCATTGCATTTCGATGTTGTTCGCGTGGAAATTGCTTTATAAAATGTTGCCATCGCATGAAAGTTGGGTGAGGTTTTTGTGGGCGTGGCCCCTGCAGCCCTGGCTAATATCTTGCACCAGCCCCCGCAGATATAAGTACATATAGAAAATAGAATTTTTTTCCTTCATTGATTCTTTTTGTTAAGCTGCGGCTTCTTGCTTGACATTCTTTTAATTTCCAATGCATTTCCTATACCCCACCCAATTCCTTTGGTCTACTCCTTTTTTAACCATTGCTTTTGATTTGGCAATAGTTTGCTAATGGTTTTCCAACTGCTATAAATCATTTTTAGGGGGAAAACTTTGAAGGGCCGATTACTTGTTTGGCAAGAAAGTGGTCGAAATTGGCTAAATTTAGAAATCTGAGAGAGCGATGTAAACTTAATGCCTTGAATTTCTTTAAAGACAAATTTTAAAATCATTAAATTCAAATTAAATACTACTAAAAACTAAAAGAATATGTAATTTTTTTTTTATTTGCTAGTGATACATTATAAACCATAAATACATAAACCTTCTAGTGGCAAGGGAGTCAAGAGCAGGAGATATTTTGTAGACAATCTTCTTATAGTATTTATAATGCTCAGTGGCATTGAAAGTAAAACAAAGAGCGGGGAAATTCTCCATGTTCTAGTGATACTTTCTTTTTTCGCCAACTTGTGTGGGTGACATTTTCTTTAGCCAACTAATGAATGCCTCAAAGAGCCTTCCCTCTGCAGTTTTAGTTCTGTGGTCACACACAAGCTCACAAACAGGACATGGTTGGATTTTGGCTAAGGCTACAAATATTTGCAGTTCGTGAGTGTGTGGGTATGTCTTTTCGTTCACAAATACACACAGAAAACAAATATTAAAAATGATAATTATTATACTTTGACTATTCGAAATATTGTTATTAAAATTTAGAGTTGTACCTTAAGTTATTTAGTTTTACATTCATAAATTATTTTAATTTATATTTCTATTGGTGGTTTAAATTTCTTGTTTATTACGATTTCACTTTTTCATTTTTATATTTATTATTTTATCATTGTTTTTATGGTTTATATATAAAGAGTACCATTTGGGTCCTAGTAAATGTATTCACCGCTAAGCATATTATTCTACGCCCAAGCAGTTTCTCGACTGCTGCTGCTGGCACTGAATCAGTTAAGAAAACTTTTCTAATTAATTCGCTTGAGACATGTACAGAGACACACACACACACACGCACACAAGACCTTCTCTTTCTCGTTCTCCCTACGTTGCAGCGAAAATATAATTTAACTGACAGTTTGTTTGAAAAGTGACAATTTGAAATGGGCGTGAGCCACGCCCCGTCCATATAACTCCATTTCTAAATTGCTAATTTGTGCCACTTAAATGCATGAAAAAGTCATAAAATGCATTTGGCTGCGGAACCCATTTCTTTTCCGTCCGCCTGCTACTCTTTCGATTATTATTATGGGAATTCATCAGGGTAAAAAAAACAGACTCAGAGAAGAAAACTCATCAGAATTTTCCATTAAAACAGATGACAACACGTTCAATAGAAAAATCATTATGATGGCAAAGGTCATCTTTGTGTGCGTGTGTGTTGATGGTGAAAATCAGGGCAAAACGCTGGGGCCATTAACTTGTCCACTAAATGCGTATTTCTGCTTAAATCTGAAACTAGAATGTGTGCGTGCCTCACTACAGTTAGCGGAAGTTTCATTTCAAAGGGTGTGTGAGTTTGTCTTCCTCTGGGGATAAGTGCAATGGAATGTGAAATTTAATTAGTCTTGTTTATCGCTAAGGAGAAGGCATTCTTAAAGCCTAGCTTTTTACATCTAACGTCATCTTAAAACTAATTTCTATCCGAATAATAAATAACATAAAACCTAACGGATCTGGTGATTGTATTTAATATTACATTTTTATTGTTGATTAAAACGGATTAAATGTCTGTGGTAAGCATGAAAGGGCTTATTTTATTTAATTTCTTGGCCAGAGGCATTAACATTGGTTAAAAGTTTTCAAGAAAATGGCATGGAAACCTCTCGTTTAGCCAATGAAAATCCAATTTAATTAATAAGATACATTAAAATCAATTTAAGAGTTGCCTGAAGCCATAGAAACTCCTCCCACTTGGGCAATTCCAGGACGACAGCCATTTCAGAAGTACATCACCGTTTTATGTTGGACAATAAGAAAGCGCAAAAGTTTTATAGCCCTTTAACCCTTTTTTGTATTCGCGAACCGCTTTGCCCATCACTTTTATAGTTTATGACAGTGGAATGTACTGAGAAATGTGTATCTTATGATTTTGGTTTTCCATTTCCAGCGCTTCAAGGACAACGACATCGAAGTGAAGCGCAAGGATGGCATTATCCTGCTGCGTGAATTGGCCGCCGAGGTGAAGAACTTCATGGATTTCAAGCGGAATGCTGTCATGGTAAGTGAATATCTCTTATGAACCTCAATCCACTCTGGCCGTTTTTACACTTACCCAAATGCAATGGGTATTTATAAATACTGAAAGTTTCTTAATTGGAAATATACAAAAACAAACAGATTTTTGGGTACCTTGCTGTTCCTTAAAAATTAAACTTAGTTCGTATATAAAGAAATCATACGCCATGTTGTCAGTGCTAAATCTCGTTTCGCACTTTCTTTTTCCAACTGTACTATACCCAAACTCTCTTTTCTTCGGATATGCCTACAATTGACAAGTGGCTCAATCTCTCAAAGCTCAAGGGAGAAGCGGAAAAGGCGGGCGAACTCTCAAATTTGAGGACGGCACTAAAAAACACAACAAAACAATAATACGCGGACACGAGAACCGTCTCCAGGGGTGAGGTTGGGAGGTTTACTGGCGTAAAGTGGAAAACAATAAATTGCCGTGGGGCCTGTCTGATTGCGGTGGTGCTGCTGTTGGATCTGAAGGGGCTTCGGTGGTGAGGAGACTGGCGCCAAATTGAAATTAAAGTGCGTCCCGCCACAAGCACAAGTTTTTGATGGCGCCCGCAGCTGCTGCGTGTGCGTGCCCAGTGCGATGTCACGGGACCGAAGCTTTGCTCTTTGGAAATGGAAGAACTGCTAGCCAAGCCCCCCTCCGTCGAGAAAACTCCCTTTCTTCCGTCCGTGCGGTCTGTCTCCTTTTGTAGCTCTCCACTGTGTACTGCGTATCAATGAAGTCCTCCCACTGTACAGGTCATTTTCCACGGGTCACAATGGGTTAATGATGCTAAGTGGATTTCGATAATTGAAAACAACTGATCATAAACTGTTGAGGGAACAAATTATTAAACACCAACTAAGAAAATAGTTAAATTTTGTAAAAAAAATTCTCGGTATCTTATAATTTTCACCTATATAATCAACATTTTCCCTAAGGTGCAGTCCAATGCCGTTTTCTAAGTATGTAGCTATGCTTCAGAAGAGATGTGAAAATATAATCTCAATTAACAGCACAAGGGCAATACCCAGAGTAAATGCGCCAGATTATTGATACCGGTTTATTGGCGCACTCGGCTAAAAGCTAACTGACAAGCTCAGTTAACCAGAGGCGTTACTGGGAGGGAACTTTACTTTGGCATATTATCAATGCCTGTAGCTTAAATGAATGAAAGTTATGAGATAAACAATTTTTATTGGAAATTCCTCGAGTAAGCAACGAGTTTTGAGCTTAAAGAGCACTGCGATAATTGGTAACTGATTGCATTTGAATCTGGGAATCTCCCATTTAGATTATTCTCCCATATAATACGGTTACACAGGTGACCTGGTCCGGCAGTATCTCTCCGCTGATTGCAACGAACAGTTCATTTAAAAATGGAATCACAGACTTTTGTCGTACTGCTGCTTATTAGTTGCCTTATCGTCGGTTGTTGCATTGCGGCACCTCAGGGTTGCAGTGGCGGCTTTTACTCTAGCAATGGCAACCTGGTGATCGACATAAATAACATTCAGAACCATCTTAACTGTGTCAATAGGCAACATCAACAACATGGATAAAATCATTAAATGCCAACTTACATAGAATGTATAAATTAAGTGCAATACAAAAAAAAAACTTCAAAAAATTGTAAATAAAATCTTCTAAAATAACCAGAGCTCATTCTAATTTCAATGCTGCTAATGCTGGTGGTGTTGTCACCAAACTCGGACATTGTATGAACAATATTGCGTATACGAGATTTCAAGAATTGTCAGACTGGCAGATACCTGAGACGCAGTAATCTCTTGGTAGCTTCTTAAAAAATGTTCTCATTTAAAACATTTTGTCTTATAAGCATTGACACATAATGACAACTTTCCATGTATATATCTTTTGAATTCTTTCTGTTTTTTATTTGTTTTTACTTAACAATGAAAAGGATAACATTTTGCGTTAAAAGTCGGCTATCCGTTTATTATATAGTTTCCTTAAACGAATTTGTAATCCATTGTAGAACTAAAAAAGCGGGTCATATCATAGGTGTTGTCATCAGCTGTTTTGGGTTTTTCCACACCGTTCCAGTTATTTTCAGCTCGACCATACAGAGTTCCAATATTTTCGTTGCTATTGGGTATTTCTGATCGAGAGTTTTTATCGGCGTCCGGGATGATGAACTGGATAGGTGAAAAGGTTGGTGCATAGATTTCTTCAGGAGGCTCTGGAACATTATCCGTTTCCTGACGAATCCAGTCGATAATGTTGGCCACATTTGTGTATACGCCTGGGATGCCTTCCATTCCGCAATCTGCCCCGAAGTTGACAATACCCGCCAGTTCATACCGCTGGGGATTTTCTTTCAATGGACAGGCCAGTGGAGAGCCACCGTCGCCAGTGCAGGAGTCCTTTTCCGATTCTCCGCCTGCGCACATCAAGCTATTGTCGAGGACAAAATCGGGCTCAAATTGGCGAAGTATTTGTTGGCATGTACCCCTCTTGACTACCGGCATAGAGATCTTCTTCATAACGTTCATGTAGGTTGTATCTTCAAAGGATTTTTTACCCCATCCAGTGAAGATGCACTTGTTAAGATCAAATGTTTTAGGAGCCCTTGGCAGGCAAATGGGATTGATGTGAGGGGCTTTCTTAAACGATTTTTCGAGGAAAAGAAGGGCCACATTGTTGCCCTTGGTCTGATAATTAAAGCCAGGATGACGCTTGATCTCCAAGACATTAATGTCTACGTGAGGGAACTGCTCAGTCGTGGTTTTGAAGTCCCACTCGCCAGCCCTAACAACAATGTCGGAGGCCATCATGCTTTCTATGTTTTTTTGTGATGTGATAACGATATGGGAAGAGATCAGGGAGCCACCTGCCACGTATTCACTGGATGAGGCTTTTAATAAGGCCACCATCCATGTAATTTCAGACTCCTGGGCCATATCTTCTAGGTTGCTGATTCCTCCCCTGCCTGATCCAAAATTCACAACTCCGCAATCGTTGTTGGCCCTCAGTGGAATGACATCGATTGTGTCGGTCAACTGAAATAGAAAATAAAAAAATTTTTAAGTATTAATAAATAGAGTCGCGTTAATAATACTGAAGTCTAATGAATGGTAATAAATTTGAAAGGGAGAAGGGTTAGTTACCATCCCGATCTCATGTTAACCCCTTTGCCAATTAAAACTTACAATTTTGCTTTTATGGCAGCAAGTCGACGTGGTATAACACCCCATGTTGCCTCCTATCATATCTCGAAAAGTCATTTGAGTACGGCACTGACGTTTTGGAACGCACACATAATCTTTCAATCCTCCGCAAGACTGTAGGCCATTGTCGTACTGGTATATACTGTATTTTAAGTTTTGATTTTGAGCCTGCTGCTGAACCTGAGGCTGGTTCTGAAACCAATAGTGTGCCTGGCCTTGCGAAAGGCAAGTGGCCAGGATGAGACACAAGATTAAAAGTTTTCCGCGCAGATGAACCATTCTGATCGGCGTCACGGAAGTAACTGAAAGATCCATCGTATACAGCCCCAACGAGCTGGGTATTGAATTCTTTGCTCTCACATTTATTAGATTATAAAATATACATACAATTTCGGACGAATATTCCCCGCTCTCTCTGAATCCTCTAATCGGTTTGATACATCATACTCTCGCCCCGGCACTCTTGCCGAGTGAATGCTTTATTTATGTTTACTCATACATCTTTTTTTATTATTTCTTGGAAATTATTTCTTACGGACGGAAACATGCGATGTAGATGACAAACATATAATATTATACAAATTTCCCGGAATTTGGTTTGTGTTTTAAAAAAGTCTATCTAGGAGCTATCCACCGGCATAGGGATTTCAAATAAATAATTATTAAGTCTTTTAATTGACTGTAAAAATTTAATATGTAAACGACCTGGAAGAGTATATTTGATTCAGCTCTGCAACAATTTTGTTCATTTTTAATGAAAGAGAAAGATAGATGAGCTAAGTAAAAATTGTTTAAGTGCTGCTTTTAAAGAGAAATTCAAAATAGAAAATAAAATCGCCGACTTTCTTCTTAGTGGTGCTAATTATCTGCCTGACTGTTGTCGTAAGATGGAACCTCAGGGATGGAACCTCAGTTGTCCGCCGGCAATAGCAACCAGACAATGGCCGTGATTAACATTAAGTTTATCTAGAACATGGACATGAAGATAGTTTCAGTCATTAATATACTTTTTAAAGGAAATGCAAAATATACCGAAGACTGCTGAATAAAATTCACTTAAAGAGGGACAGCGCGATATTAATTTTAATTTGTGTATATATTTGTTGATAAACAACTAATAGTGCTGGTGGAGTGGTCAACGCACTCGGGCATTTTATAAACAATATTGCGTATACGTGATTTTAATAACCCGCACATGTTGGAATAGAAAAAAATTCAGATTGACAGTTTAGAACGTATTTACTGATTATCGTACGATGATTGCGTTTGGTATTTTAATCTACGAGAATTCTTATTATATACTTAAGTAAAAGTTATGAAGAAATCTTGCTTGGGACCAAAGTAATTATTAAAACTTATTAATATTAATATTATATTTTATTTATTATAATTTCTTAATGACCTATCAGGCATATTTTACTGAAGTATAATCCTAGAATTTGGAATCTATATAGCTAAATGTGGTCGGAGAATGCAAACTGGCCGCTTAAATATTTGGTTTCCCGCTGGCCCCTTAGTCTGTCGTCGACAATTTGTGTTCATGTCGAACATGAAAAATAATGAAAAGCAACTCGAGCGCGACCAGACGAGCACCTGCTGGCCCAGTCCTTTCACCTCAACATCAAGCGCCATCGACATCATCCCCAACCCTATATGTGCACTCTCTTTCTTTCCCTCTCTGCCTCCATTGGCCTACCATCGCATTGCATCGCATCGCATCGCATCACTCGGTTGGGCACCTGCAGTTGGCCTTTGTTTGGTGCGGCATTAAAATGCTAATTGCCTGTAAACATAAAGGCAACTGCAGATGCCGCAAATACTCGTACGCACACATGCGTGCACGCATCTCATTTTCCAGTTTGTTCGGAGGCGTATGCGTAATAATTTGCAAACAGTCCCAGCGGTGAAAGCGTAACAACGTGTGGCAATAGCCGTTGCTAATTCGATTTCTATCAACGCCTGTCAATGCCGTTTTAACTGAGCTGTTGCCACTGCCACTACCACTGCCAACTGAAACCTTTAAGGACCGCCCTGGGCTCTTGCACTAATCGTGTCCTGTTACTGACAGCATTTATTTGCATTCGTTTTGCAAGCTGAAATTGACTTTAAAATTGCATTTAATGGCGGGAAAAGGCAGTGCCACACCCTCTGCACTCGCCGCTATTCATTTCCAACTAGAGATGGCAGCTTATTCTTTTTTCCAGAGTGATGATTTATATAATTTAGGTAAATAAATATTATAAATATGATTATAAAAGGTAATAAGTAATTATATATTGTTAAACTAAAAAGTTAATCGAGAAAAAGCTAAATTTTTTTTACAAAATCTTTCTATTTCTTTTTAAATAATAGTTGGCATCACTGCTTGGTATAGTGTCTCTGCTTGACTCGTTTTGCTTTTGGCCACACCACCCACTCCCATATCCTGTGCACTGTTGACTTCTTTGCCATAATGCCACTTGCACTTTGACGTTGACATTGTGCGAACGAGAGGGCAGTCGCTGCCAGAGCGAGAGAGATCGATGGCTTGATGGAAGGCAAGTGTGTGTGTGTGGGTATTGAGTACATTGGAAAGCTGTTCGAGTGTTTTAAATAGAAACATGCAGCAACGCGGCAGAAAATGTTTTCACACTAAAAGCATTTGCCTTCCACTAAGAAATACGAGGGAGAAAGGAAGCTTCAGACTGCCATGACAAAAATTTTGTTGACACTTAACTCTTTGTTATAATTGCTTTTGCTAAAGATTTAAGGTCATTGAAATTAGGGGAACTAAAATCTTTTGCTTTTATAAAGAGTTAATCTCGAAATAAACTATTATAGTACAGTGAATTAAATAATAATTCACTTAAAATTAACAGTTTATCTCGAAAAATAAGGCAATGACTAACCGCTTGCTTATTTTCTAAAATAGTAAAAGCTTTACAGTTTGATCTTACCAAAAATCTTATGGGTTCCAGTCGACAAGAAAAGAACAAACCACAATGCTGAGTTGCACTTTGTACGGGAAAAAGGCGTTTATAATCCCCAAAATAAACCGCATTAAATGTTGGTGTGAATGTGTCGTCGGAGCTCAGTCAGCCCGTCACTTTTGTGGCTAAAAATACCGAACAGTTTTGGCCAGGACAGACAGATTAAAGCAGAGCCCAGTCGACTCGAGGAGGACAGGCACCTGAACAGGTGTGCCACAGCCACTTGATGTCAGTCCAAAATTTTTTCCACTGTGCTACTCATACTAATCAGAGCTTTACATACAAGAGGACTCGTCCCCCCAACCTCGTCAAATATTTAGCTGAACTCATATTAAAACGTAATATAAATTTCCTTTTCGGCTGCAGAACTTATTGCTCCAACATTTGGCAACGTCCATTCAAATGGCAAATATATTGGAGCGACTTAAAAAATCGCTGAAAAAGAATGTTGGCTGGGGAAGAAAAAAGAAAAGTCTGAGGGCGTACAGAAATCGTGGCTTAAACACACATCTTGCATTATCCAGTAAAAGAAGAGAAAATCGAGGGGCAGGGAAAATCACTCGGCTGGATCTGGCTTTTCACTTGGCAAATGGTCAACGCGTATTCGTTTTTTTCGTCTTCGCTCAGCACACTTTCAGGCTGTTGCTCCAGCCAACGCCCAGAGTTCTTATCCTTCTTTCGAGCAAATTGCGTGCAAGTAGCTGCATTTTGCTAATTCCGCCAGAGCCCAGACATTGCACCACTGACATTTCAGTAGGTCTCCTCTGCCTCAGTCTCAGTCTCGGTCTTCTAGACCCGGTTCCAGACCGATTCCCACTCTCATACCTATTCCCATTCCTATTGCCAGCCATCGTTGGCGTTGTCATTGTTGGCTTTTGAATGTTAAGATGTCGACAGCTGCACAGACGAGCGACAGGGAAGCCAGCAGCTGGTGTCAACTGAGAATTGTGTACGAGAGGGCATTGCTCAGGGTCGGGTCTCCAATCCAAAAACCCGCCCAACACCCATCCATCCATCTTTGCAACCCTTTTCTTCGCCTTGCAGACACCTTATTTTCCCTTTTTTTCTCGTGCCCCCTTGATGTGCATTTCTTTTCTGTCGCGCTGCCACGACCTTTCCATAAGTGCATAATATTGTTGGAAAAATGTACAACAAATATATCATAATACACGGCCATGTTTTTGTCTGTCGCTCTTCCCATCCATGTTCCATCCCAAGTTGTGTTAGACAAAGCGACTACGCATGTTGGCAATTATTTACATGGGTATGACATTGTTGGTCCCTGCAAATAACTAGGGGTTCAGATGGATAACATCTTCGAGGCTGTTATCCGTGATGCAACAATTTCGTTTCAAACCGTTTTGAAGACAAACATTTTAAGCAGCAGTTAAATACTAAAAGTTTAGTTCAATATCTGTAAATGCACTGCAGGTTTAATCTTTAAGTTCATCTAAGTACTAAATATAATCCTATTAAATGTAAAAAGCAATTAAATAGTCAGAGAAAACGCAATGGTACCTGCAGTTTCAGGCTCTAACAGAGGTGGCCAAATTTAATAACTCCTTGGGAGCAACTACAGCTACTTTTACTTGCCCTTAGGCTATGGCAAGCAAGTTTCGGTTGATGCCAGCTGAAGACTCGAAATCCGATAGAAACTTCGTTGCCGCTTCTTGGTAGTTACCAGACGCTCACTTACCCCCAGTGTGCTCCATTCTATTGACTCACTTTCGGCAGTGTTTATTATTTAATGCCTTAACTAGCTTCCTACTCAACACCTTTTTTGGGCAAACTTTAAGACTCCTTAACTAATTCGAGCTCTTGGAAAATGTGCAAATAACTTTGAGAGTTGTCTGATAAAGGGGGGATGAAGGTGGTGAAGGAGGTTCACCTGGAAAGAAGTTTTCAGTGCAACAACTTTCTTACCCACCCTTTCTAACTGGCATTCTTTGCCCAAAACTCCCCCTGCCATTTGTCTAAGCCGCTGACACATTCCCGTGGCACCAGCGTTTGCCCAAAGGCAGCCAATTTACATTGAAATCTTCTTCAGACTCGGACTGGTTCTCTATGCCCCCAGAGTACGCCGAGCTTAAGCATTTTTATTCTATTTTCCTGCTCTGCATCCCCATTGTACAAAAGTAGTTGAACTATTTCAATGCACCCACATGCAGCTTAGCTCGGCAGCCACTGCAGCATCTTCAGGTGCACCATCCCCAACCCCCAACTTTTCATACAACTCCATCCTATGTTCTCCCTAGTGAGTGTGGGCGTGGTTTTGGCCCATCCCCAGTGTCTATAACTGCAGGTGTTTGTCCTCCTTCGGTGCTTGAATCTGCCCCCTCTGGGTCTAATTTCGCTGCAGCTAAAGTTCTTGTTTGCGTCTTATGAAAATGCATACTGTGGGCACCGAGCTAAATTTGTGAAGATAATTTGTGTTCCAACTTTGTGAAATCCTTCGCAGCAACTCAGTGATTTGTTGAATTCCCTCTGGGTCGTAAACTGGAATGCTATTGAATATGCAAGCTGTTAAAACCGGCCATACTCTTGGCCTTAATTTCAGATAGGTTGAAAATTAAGACTAATTTGAAAGCTAGAAGGGTGTAAAACATATCAAATCAAATTTATTTAATCTACAGATGAAAATCATTTAAATTACTTTTTTAGTTTATTGGCTTATATGTGTTTTTATAATTTGATTATAGATAATCCGATATTTGATTAGATTGTCTTAAACGGTTGCATACTTTTAAGCGGTTTGTTGCGCACAGTGCACTGGCGATATTCTCCGATAACTCAGGGCTTTGAATTATACTCCATATACATACACCCAAGTCGAACTAAAAGTTTGCTAAAGAGAAGGCAAAAAAGAAAATAAAAATGAAAAGCAAAGCAAACTCTAGTGCTTTGTGCAATTTAAGTCGCAGCGAAGAGAATAAATTGCATAAAGCGCTGAAACTTTCGCAACTTTTCCTCGAACCATTGCCACCCCGCATACCCTAGAGAAATATTTAAGCAGATTGATGGCAGTGACTGAAACCAACAACTCTTTCAGCGCCTGATGGACTCCGCTGAGCAAGCAGCCCTGTCGGAGCTAGAGGGCCAAGGACAGGCGGAGTCGCCGATGGGAGGACAACAGCACTACGATGCCCGGCGGATCAACGAATATAATGCCGATGGCAAGCTAGCGGACGGAGCCCGCCACATGGACATACGGTTCATGCGGCGCTTCGAGCGCCTGCCGGTTAATCTCAGTCTAAGCTCGATTCTGGTGCCGCACGGCGTCGACTTGGATGAGGCGGACGTGAAGTCGGCGCTGCAGTGGAGCGGCCACTTGGATCCGTTGTTCCAGAACAACTTAGAGCAAGATCCGGCATTGTCATGGCAATACTTTGGCTCCTCGACAGGTTTCCTGCGTCGCTTCCCAGGCACTGCCTGGCCCCCAGAGGGCTCCAAGGGCAGCAAACTTATCCATGACTTCCGCACGCACAATTGGTTCGTCCAGGCCGCCTCGTCGCCCAAGGATATTGTAAGTATATGTTATTTTAATTTGTATAGTGATATTAACTGATTTTACTCTATCTAAATTAGATGATTCTCTTGGATGCCTCATCGAGCATGACGGAGAAGTCCTTCGACCTGGGCATGGCCACTGCTTTCAACATACTGGACACTCTGGGTGAAGATGACTTCGTTAACCTCATAACCTTTTCGGAGGTAGTGAAAACACCTGTGCCGTGCTTCAAGGACCGCATGGTTCGAGCCACTCCCGACAACATTCAGGAAATCAAGTCTGCGGTCAAGGCTATTAAACTGCAGGATACGGCTAACTTTACGGCTGGCCTGGAGTACGCCTTTAGTTTGCTGCACAAGGTAAGAAATCCGTACAGTAACAAGATAGTTGATACATCACCTTTTCCAATTTTAGTATAATCAATCGGGGGCTGGAAGCCAGTGCAACCAGGCCATAATGTTAATCACGGAAAGCACCTCGGAGTCGCACAAGGATGTAATCAAACAGTACAATTGGCCACACATGCCCGTTCGGATCTTCACTTACCTGATTGGCAGCGATTCTGGCAGCAGAAGTAATCTACATGACATGGCCTGCTCCAACAAGGGATTTTTCGTCCAGATCAACGACTACGATGAGGCACGCCGCAAGGTGATTGACTATGCCCTGGTAATGGCCCGTCCGATGATTATGTACCAGGCGGACCATCCGGTACACTGGAGCCCAGTGTTTGTGGCTGGAAAATCTGGAGGACTTGGACGCGATTCAGAATATCAGAGACGCCTGGTGACGACAGTTTCAACTCCGGTCTTCGATAGACGAAACCATTCGGTGCGCGTTGCCAATCTGCTGGGCGTAGTGGGTACCGATGTGCCTATTGAGGAGATCCGCAAGGTGATCCCACAACACAAGTTAGGACCGAATGGGTATTCGTTTATCGTGGATAACAACGGGCGGGTTCTCTACCACCCCGACCTTCGGCCCCTGGGTGATGCGAGCCAGTACATCGACCAGCTGAAGCCCAAATACGCCTCAGTAGACATCACGGAGTTGGAACTGCCGGAAACAGAGTTCGGCAACAATAACGAACCTGTAGAAATAAACAAAAACCTTCTAAACGAGGTAAGCCGCCTTCATTTTATTAACTTATATTATATTCAAGATTTCATATTAGCGTTAGTCTGAAGTTTAGTTTAAGTTTGTCTTATGAAAAGCTTTTGAAATGGTTTCTGATGTTTATCGTAACTTTCTATTAGATGCGCGGTGATATGATAAAACCAAAGGAGGGAGAGACGGAATTCACCGTGATGAACCACTACGATGACTCAAAGCGGGTTTCGACTAGAACTCATCGCTATTTCTATGGCCCCATCGAGGATACACCTTTCACGCTGGCTATTGTGCTCCCGGAGAAATACGGTAGCCATGAGTTTGTCTCCCAGCAGGAGATCCGTCATTCGCGTAACAATGGTGAGATTTTCAGAGTTTTACCTTTTCATTCCATCTAATACATTTTTATTTTTCCAGTTACCGAATACTTTAAGGGAGACAACTGGCGCGTACATCCCGATTGGGTGTACTGCGAGTACAATAGCGTCAGTGATCTGGAAAAGGAAAGGGAGAGCTCCGGCGAGTACTCCTCGCGCGATCAGGAGCCAAGTTTCGGATCGCCAGAGGAGCAGGTATTGCACTTTCTGTCTCGCGCTGGGCGCCCCGGTTGGAAGTGGATGTCGGTAAGCAATCTGACTTGGGCAACGGGTTAACAACACCCGTGGCGTATTTCATCAGGACACTCTAATAATACCCAAAATCTATCATTAAATCAGGTTCGACCCAAGTCGCCGCAGCCACATCACAACATGCACAGTGGCTCCAATGGCAATGCGCCCGGATCGAGCCACTTTGGGTCGCAGCATCAAAACTCTCAGGGATCTCGCAAGGCTGAGCCCTACTTCTGCGATCGAACCCTCATCCAGAGCTTGGTGCGCGATGCCATGGTAACCGAGGGACTTGATAGAAACACGACGGGATCTTCCAGCGGCAAGGAGGATAAGCAGTAAGTATTCACTATTAAATGTTGGATATCACAACTTTTTATTTCTTATGGCTTTCAGTTTGTATAGAATTAATAGAGTCTTAATACTTACAATTTATTTAAGTTTTTATAATATAGTCTATATACAAAAAACCTTATCATCTATTATAATTGGCGTATTTCATTTTAAATACTTTATTTTAGTTATATTTTATTTGAATTATTATGAACTTGTTGTGATCTTTTTAATTTAAGACTTTTACTAAAGCACAAAAACCATTTTCTCTCCGCATATATTTTCCTCACTCTATTTCTTTGATGGCAAACACATTTTTTTCTTTTTGCCTATAACTCTGCACTTTTACACCTGAATAACCATAATGCAAAAATATTCTTTCCCTATGCAAATAATTCAAAAAATATTTGTTTTAACAAATGCAATTTTAAACTGATATGCACCAATTTTATATGAATAATTTCTATAGTCCAATCGCCACATTGATGGCAATCCTTAAGAGGTAAATCGAAGAGTATTTTGATTGATGTTGGAGTAGAATTGAACATTGCAATCGCTTTAGAGGACCAGCCACATGGAAAAGGCTTGAACGAATATCCCTTAGAAATATCTAACGCTGGCCCCAAATGACTAAAAACTTTCAAATACCAGAATTTTAAAAAAACTTTTATATTTTATTCTTAGGCAAGGCTATCAGAAGTTTGTGGTTGCTACTTCTTTTGTGGCTACAAGATCGGGTCTTCTGCGGTGGATTGATCATGTCAAGCGTCCCGAGGATACCCCAGAACCGTAAGAAAATAACTTAATGACTTGCCAGAAATTCTCAACTTTTTTCTTTAATTTTATGGAATAGGCACTTCAGCGAGGATAATGTCAGAGCCATGGACACATCGTGGTACAAGCGAGCCATAGATCAGCATTCAGTGGAACCGGACAGTTTTGTGTACAGTGTACCCTTTGGTTCGGGCTATGCCATCAAGTCGAATGCCACTTTGGTGACCGCATCACATGCCATATTTGTAGAGCATCGGGGCCACAAAGCTCCCGCTGGAGTTGTGGGTCTTCAGTTCCAACACGATTCCTTGGCAAAACATTTCATAAACATCACCTCAGCAGTGAGTGTCTTTCATTTTTAAAAACTTTTAATAATTATATTTTCTTCTATCAGTAATGTTGTCAAGTTTTTACTCCACTATGCCAAAAATCCTTGATAGACATTTATTTTAAATATATTAAAAAATCGTATTATCTTTTCAGTGCACCGGAATGACTGGATGCAAGAGAACCTGTGCTTCGGACAATCTGGACTGTTATGTTTTGGACAACAGCGGATTTGTGATCATATCCGAAGAAATGGAGCACACAGGAAAGTTCTTTGGTCAGATCGATGGCACCATTATGGACTCCTTGGTTCAGGACAGGATCTACAAAAGAGTAACGGTAAACGATTACCAGGGTGTCTGCTCAGATGCGGATAATCCCTATACGGCAGCAGGTGGCATCTTAAGACCGAATCGCCTGGGCTCCTGGTTCTTTAATCATCTTCTGGCCTTGAGTGCCACTTGGTTGTCTTTTATGCCTGCTTCGCTGCGGGCGTGGCCCCAGGAAGAGTATACCTATGACAATGAGGATGTTGTATTTGTGGACAATAACTACTCTGATGAATATGAGTTTGGAAGCGAAAATGATTACAACATGCCAGTGGACCAGGAAATGGATGAGTTCTTCACAACAGCTGATGTGGTAAGTGTGATGATAATAATAAAATAAATATGTAATAAAAGGAAAACTAAAGAAAAATATTCTAAAGGAGTACACCACGCCACCGCCTAGACAGCATAAGCCCCATGTGGGGCCGAGGTTTTCACCGGATCCGCACAATGCCAGACGGTGTGACTTGCGCACCGATCTATACATGCTCCAGCCAGAGCGTCTCAATCAGGGTGGACAGAACAATCCACTCAAGGTTAGCTCCATTTTATACTGAAACTCAGGTCATAGTTAAGCCCAAATTATCTCCCCTTTGTAGGGTAAACTAACAAACTGTCATGTATCTGGATGCGAGCGTCCTTTCAGCGTCCAGAAAATCCCGCACAGCAATTTGATTTTATTGGTTGTGGACACTCTGTGTCCGTGTGGCTCCAAGCAGCTGGACATCGAACCCTTGGAGGAGACAGGCGTAATCGGTGAGTATATCGGATATGCTTAGAGAAAACTTACTTAACTTTATCGAATTTTTGAATTCCCAGGAGCCTGCAGTACAAGACGCCAAGGGCAGGAGCAGGAGTCGCGGCGAAGACCCAAAAAGTGCATCAACTATCATCCCGAGGAGATCGAGATACAGCAGTGTGGACGTGGCAGCACCCTGCAGCACATGTCTGGATCCGTAATTGTGGCCCATCTCCTGATGGTGACCGTGACCTTTGTGCTGGCCAATGCGTGATATGAGCACTAAATGAGTTTTGAAAATTAGGTTTGCACTATTTTTGTGTTGAAAACAATAAGCGAATGGGGTTCCTGAAGAGCCCTAAAGTTTCTTTTAATCGAAAGAAATAGGCAGCTTGAGTTTGTTGATTTAAGGTTTGGAGATCGAAGTGGAAACTGTTAGTAAGCCTCTTATCACAAAATGAGGTAAAGGGGAAAAAATAAAATATTTATTATTAGAAGATTCGCAGAATGAGCAACGTTACACAGATAATACTAACGAGTTTATATCATTATGTTTGTAGACAATAATTTGCAGAAAATAATTTTCATTGACAATTAGGCAAAAAGAATAGCTAAACATAAATTCTGAATGTATGTGTGCCATACGAATAACGTTTGAAATTAAATTGTTTAGTCGAATATAAATACTTTCTAGAACGAGCTTTGTTTACCATTTATTCATTGATTTCCTTCTTAAAACAAAAAATAATAGACGCAAATATAAGAACCAGTGCAAAAATGTAATAATAATGGAAAAGAAAAACAGTTATCAGTCGGATAATGTAAATAGTATCAGAAAATATTCAAAATGAGCAAAATTCCTACCGATAAATAATTCGTTTTTTTTCCTGTTTTCTATCGTACAACTTAAATACTACAAAAAATAAATGGAGTTACTTTTGCACTCAACTGCGTACGCACAAATATCAAGTATTATATATATATTTTACAACCAAAAAATATCGAATTCACTGAACAAATGGAAGACTTGAAACACCCGACAGCAATGTAAAAACAACAAAAGCACACCAAAACCATGAGCAAAAACAGAAAATAGGCAGATATATAGGCAATTCATATCTGATATGTATATGGCTGATATCCAATTTTCAACAGAAGCAAGCGAAACGAATCAAAGGAAAAACAAGTTAATTATTAAATAAATATTTGATTAGTTTTGCAGAAAATAAATAATGATAAAGGGAAAATGTGGAAAAAAGTAATAATTTATTTTATATACATTTTATACAAACCTCATTCATATAACAAGAAGCGGAAGGTGAAAACCAAATCGATCAACTAGTGTAATCGTTTCATTAATTTTTAGACTATATCGCATCTGGTTTGGGTTTCTTTAATTTCTTAGGCCTACATAGAAATTTACATATCTATTGGAGTTCTGAAATAACAAGTATTTCTTTTCTAAACTAATAAACGAAACTATTTTAAAAACAAATTACTCGGAACACTTACATATTGAAACCGACACTCAATCTCACTCACTCTGAACACAAGAAAACACTTACACACATATACAAAATATAAAAAAAGAATATTTTCTGTGTCTTAAACTTGTATAAAAAATGTCTTCCATTAAAAATACTTAACGAAAAATGAAATCCAAACAAAGTAAAACAATTTATAAATCAATACCTACTAACTAACTTAAACTAAAGAATACGATTATATAAGTATATATATAAATATATATATAAATATATATTAAAACATTTAACTCGAAAACTCATTAATCTCAAGCATACACAATTTCAAAAGTTTCACTCTGCCTCGCCTGTTCAGCTCTAAGTTGGCAGTAGAGAGGGGAAACCAAAAAAAAAAAAAAAAAAAAAAAAAAATAATATTATAAAACAACACATTCTTACACCCATTAGAAGGTTAGATAATGTAGTTAGTTAGGGCTGGGCTATGGGCAGCACCGGAAGGTTAAAGAGCATGCAAGGGAGGATCATACAAGCATTAGATGAAATATTAGCAGAATATTTAATATATATAGTAAATATGTAATAAACCTAATTCAACACACAACTTAAACCGAAAACGAGTAATCAATTGTAAGTCGTATGTCATAAGAGCTGTTTGTTAAACCATGACAATGTCGATGGATGTTGGTCTGGACACCAGTGCGTATGCGTTATCTGATCTGGAGTATGTGCATGTCTGATTGGGTGTTTGACTGTGTGTGTGCATGGCTAGAGACCTTGACTGACTTTAAGCGGCGTGGGTGGAGGGAATGTGTGCGTGTAAGTAACGACAATGGATATACCTGGTAGGCCACCGAAAGGCAGAACACAATATACACACCGTACAGTTAAGATCGCTATCCAACATTTCCCCCGTTCTATATCCCTCAGTCTGCCGACATCTTCGGCTACATTCTCACTCACACTCCTGTTCACCACAAATCCACTGTAAAATGGCATTCAATTCCTTCGCATTCACTATACTTCAACTCGAAAATAATAAACATATTTATGTATTCAACTTTTTGACAAACAAACAATTCCATATCAAAATACAAAAAAAAAAAAAAAAAAAAAAACAAGAAAAACAAAACGAAAATAAAACTTTACTGAGGTATGTAATAATATATAAAATTGTTCTGCAAGATTTTCTATGTTTGTTTATTTTTATAATGAAATCGAATGTTTGTATGTGTAGTCCATAATTTTCTAAAGGCATATGAATATATTGAAAAGAAAAACATAAAAACGAATGTAATGTTTATTGGTCTTAATGGAATGAAAAACAAAATGGAAAACAATTAAATCTACCATTATTAACTTACGAATTAAATCAAATTTTTGACAATGCGATTTTTGCTTTTTGGAAATCGTGCTTTTTGCTAAAACAAAACCACAAAAACAAAAAATGAAAACAAAATGAACTATAATTAACATACGAACACACTTTTGCTCTCTATAAACCCTATATACAAGCATCTTTCTATATGGAACATTTATATAAAGCCATCCGAAACCAAAAACAAAAAAAAAAACGTATATAAAACATATAACAAAACGATCCCTTGAAAAACTTTTCATATTTATACAGAGAATTGAAGAAGTCCCTAAAATGAATATTTTATGATTTGCAGCTCTTTGTTTTGATTAGTTTTCTTATTTTTTAATTGCCACATTCAGTATTTTTATTGAGACCGAATAAACAAAACAGAAGACAACTGAAAAGTAAAATTAATGAAAAAAAAACATAGTTACTGACTAAAACGTTTTTTTGGACTGATGTCACTCTATCAAGAAATAATCAACTTAAATAAATTCTGTTATTGCTGTCAAACACATTTAAATAATAATACTAAAATCAAGAAAAAGGAACTTTTAAATTGTGAGAGAAATTGTTGTTTCATTAAATTTGTCATTATGAGATTTGAAAATATAAATGTTTAATGCAAAACCAAAACAGTATGGAATACATATAAATACGTACACTCATGTAAGTCATATACATTCTGTATATTCCACAGACCCGCGAAACGGCTTAAAATAAATATTGAAATTGTTCAAAAATGCTTCAAAATTTGGATAAAGGAAAAAATGTATTTAGTTTTATGAAACAAAAAACATAACAAACACACACTAAAAACACGCTCACCAACGACACACACCTATAGACAAAACTTATGTTATTTTGTATGGAAAGTCTACAAAGAATTTCGCATATTAGTTTAAAAGAAATAAAAACTATTAAACATTAGTCAAAGTAAAAGAAAAAGAACACATTTGCGAAAAGCCTAACTGTTAAGGGAAAAACGAGGAAAGTAAACGGCATACTTACATAAATTAATTATAAATTAATATAAACTTGCTCATTATTCTAATTACAAACTGGAAATTATAAGTAAATGGTATACATAAATAATATAATTAAAACCAAGTTAAGATTCAACATTAAACAGGAAGATGAACAACTAAAAATATTATAAATACATAATATGGACGAAGGAACACAAAAGAATGCATAAGAAAACAAGAAAGAAGAAATAAATGACAAGAGGTATTATAAAATAAATGATTTTAGTTTGTTTTTTGTGGAAGGGGATAACATTGGTCTTTAAATTGGCTTAATCTACCTTTTGAAAGTCTAGTTGTCAAATCTACTCTCCTTATCGATAAGTTAATGAAATGCAATATTTATTTATTTAATTATTTATTTATCTTAGGCTTACAATTAGTAAAAACTTAGAGCTAAAAAGGGCATAGACATATACATTTTAATTAAACACATAAACATACATATGTATGTACTTTGGAATATGTTTATTAAGATAATCCATTGTTACCAGTTTATAAGAATTCCTTATTAATATCTTGTTTTTTTCTTTTTCATAGAATCATCATTATCACCACGCTCTTTATTATTATTATAAAATTATCAGGAAAATTGCATTATATTTCAGAAAATCGTCTTAAAATATGCATATGAATAACATTGGGTTTAACCCAGAATCGTTTGATTAGATTATAAGAAAATTTATTATTAGCAATCGAGTTGATAAGCGATCCTGCTTGTTTCTATAAAAGCACACAGTTTTTTCCGATCACTTCAGTCGAAGCTTCTAACTCACTTAGCAAAGAATAACTAAAATGAAATTTTTATATTTTTTTGCAGTTCTCTGCTTTCTGTTGGGAGCTGCATTAGCGGACTTTAAGAGTGAGTAATTGTAAAAGGTCTAATAATCTACGCCATGTTTTAACAAATAGTTGGTGTTTTGATAGGCTTCAAGTTTTAAATCTACAAAGAAAACTTTAATTTATTTGTATAATTCATTTTTACAGATTATCTTAAGCCGTGCTCTTCATTTCGTACCAAGTATATGTATAGCTCAGAGCATAAGAATTGCATTGGAGTCGCCTGGATCGACTGCAGTCGAAAGTCGGACTTCTTCGATACTCTTGAGGACTGTCAAAGAAGTCACAATTCGATACATAATTCTATATTTTCTTTTCATATGTACTAAATATTGTTAAATAAAATGTTTTCTGGTTTGGTTTCTATTAAATAATTGCAATATGAGGCGATCCTGTTTTTGTCTATAAAAAGTTTTCTATAAAAGCATTAATCTAACAACGCATGTCCTCGACACGAATAATACAGTCGTGTATAATCCATTCTTACCAGTTTATTCCTTATTTATTTCCTGAAAAAAGTTTTAATGTACACATTATGCATTACATTGGGTATAACCCAGAACCGTTTGACTAGATCATGATAAACTTTTTTATAAGGAATCGACTTGACGAGTTCTATAAAAAGAAGACGTTTAGTCCGATCACTTTAGTGGAAGTTTCTAACTCAATTACGAAAGAATATTTAAAATGAAGATGTTATACTTATTTTTATATGTTTTCTGTTTCCTGGCGGGAGCTTCATTAGCGGACTATAAGAGTAAGTATTGTTAAAGGTCTAATTGTGTAGAGAAACGCTTCAATCTAAATAAATATTTTAAATTTAATTTCATAATTCATATTTACAGGTTATCTTATGCCGTGCACTACAGCTTATCCCATGTATAGGTATAGCTCAGACCATAAGAAATGCATTGGAGTCATCTTGATCGACTGCGCTCGAAAGTCGGACTACTTCCATTCCTTTTCAAAATGTACTAAATATTCTTCTCGTATATAAAATGTTCCTTACTGGATTCTATTAAATCATTTCAATATTAAGCAATCTTCTTTTTTTTCGATAAACGTTTCAATACGTTTTCTATAAAAGCATCCATCTAACAACGCATGTCCACATCCCGATCAGGCATACATAATGAAATATGTACTCTATTTTTCGGGCAAAATAAATAAAATTTGACCAATAATGGTTCAAATGTGAAATTTCATATCTGGTAGGGCTCGTAATTTTATTGTTTTCATTTTTAACAAATTTTTAAATTGATTTCTCAAAATCGCATAACGAGTGATAGGGGTGGGTAGTTTTGGTCGTTAGGAGAACAAAATAGTCATTCTTTTGGCTGTGCGTCTTGTTTTGACCAAACTAGAGCTTAAAAACCGCAAATAATATTCCAATTTTCTGTGAAAAATAGTTATTCTGATTTTACAGACATAAATCAGAGCTCGCACCAAAAAAACAGGGCAACGAATTTAAAGCCGAAAAGTATGCTTTTCATTTTTTTCTTAATTTGTCTCGTTTCGTTTGAATTCGCCATGTCACTTTGTATGTAAACTTGGTGTAATATACAGCAAAGTTAAGTATTATGTAGTTATTTATAATTCCGATAGATGGATAACATTTGACGCGGTATTTTATTTCTGGCGCAACCTACCGGTCAATAGCTGTACTTAAGTCACTCTACTTTTACACTAACAAATAAACCCGCAGTGGGCGCTAGTGTATCGTTTACCAGCTCAGCCAAATATATATAGATAACCACAAGCGAAACAACGATACCAAATCAAAATGCATGGGGAGCATCATTAATGACGTCCTGCACTTCCGGTGCGCAATTACGCATGGCAAACACAAATCAAATGCCGAAATTGGGATATGGAAGTCTGCTCTCGCTTGGCACGTGATCCTTCCCCAAGGATAAGCCCAAATTATAAATTACGTAATCAAATAAATTTGACAAAACTATTTAACTTATTTATAAGGCCAATACACACACACACACACACAAAAAACTTTTTAGCCAAACAAAGCGGGCCTGCAACTGAGTAGAATATTTGCTCTTTATGTACTGTCAACAAAATTCAAATCAAATAAACTATAAATGTCCGTGGGACTGGGACTTGAATTTCGGCTTGAGCTGGATGCCGTTGTGTTTGAGTTCGTGCTGAAATCGTTATCCTGTTACTTGTCATTAATTCGGCCCTTCGTGCATATTGTTATTCCTGTCATTATTGCCCAGTATTGTTGTTATTCCAGCTCTGTGCGTCGAGCCGTTAAATTAGCCGCTTATCAATTATGTATTTGAATTTAATTGGCCAACTAGAAGGCTCCCGGGACTCGTTGGCATGCCAGAACTATACCTGTATTGAGCTTCACACTGATTTGCCAATGAAAAAATAAATATAGGAGTATATATATACTTGTAAATTAGCAAAGTTTGATTGCATGCATATATGCACAATGATATGTAAATAAATGAATCATGTGTTATGATTGAAGGTTTAATTTTTGGTTAGGAATTTTTGGCTTATAACTAGTACTAGTAAATCAGCAGAAATATACATAGTTTTGGTCTTCTATTTTTATTATTTAAAAATATATTTCGTTTTATTATAAATGCCATAATACAAGTCAGAAAGGAATGCTAAAAATGCAATACATATAGGAATATAATATGATATATATATTAACCATCATATTAAAAGATAAGACAGTTTTTAAGTTCCCGACTTGACATGTAAAATTAAATAAATCAAAATTCCAGCTAAAAAGTCAGCAGCTCGAATTTGATTGGAAAACGATTTGAAGAACGACTAAAAATGATTGTTGGCTTTTTTGTGTGTGCGGCAGCAATTGAATTTTGTGTGATTTTGGTTATTTGTCGTGGTTATTTGCTGGACACAGGGCCAGGCAGTCTGATTTATTCATTAAATAATGTGTATGGGAATGTATGCCCCTTTTTCCCCTGTTGTTCATCCTTTTGGGTGCTTCGAACATGCGTCATGATTTTCTACAAATAAATTGATTTCAGTTTTCAACATTAATTTAATAGTTGTTGTTATGGGTTTGCCCAGTGGTTTGGCCACTGTTTTCATTGTTATTGCAATTGGCCTGGTTGGGCCTGGGATCTGTTGCTGCTGATGGTTACATTTTGTAATTTCATTTCGCATGGCTCCGCGGATTCCGGCAATTGAGCATTATGCAATGCATTTACATATATGCATGAAATCGTTTAATTGCAATTCAGGAGATTTTATTTTTTCGATTTTGGTTTTAACTGTTTGCATTGTTTGCGACCAATTTGCAACAGCATTCCGCCATTCTGCCATTTTGCATTCGGGATTCCTTACCGCTGGCCAACCAAAGTTGGTTGATATTTCTGACGACCCTTCACATAATCGTAAACCAAGTTGGAATTTCCATTTGCAATTTTTACGATGCTCGTCGTTAATAAAGCATAATATGTTGACCTGAGAGCTCTCAGTGCTACAATGCTACAGTGCCAGCCATAATTCTGCCCTCAGTTTTGCTGTGGCTTCTGCGGAGTGCGGTCGCTTTTGTTGCTCCGACCGCTAATTTGCATTTCCACTTGTTTATGGTTGAGTCCCTGCTCCTGGCGTTAATTTGACGTATTTGGCATAGCAAATGGAGCTAATACGATTACTTAGCCGTATCTGCTAAAGACATACGGAAAATAATTTTTGTACTATTATTGCCGTTTATTTATAGAAATACTTTTAAGATTTTTCTTAAATTCTTTTTAAATATATTTAAACTGTATAAAGCCTAAAACGTTGTTAGAAATTCCCAGTTTACCGATAAGTAAAGTTAGTGCGGCTCTTCATCAAAAGCCAGTTAAGTTCTTTGTGGTTTCAGAAATCCTGAGATGGCTCTCGGGTAATTTCAATCAAGGATCAAACTTATTACTTAACTCCTTTAGCCGCCAACCTTTGAGCTTTCTGAACTTTTTGCCCTGCCATCTTGGCATGTATATACCTTCAGGGGCCTGGAAACAATTTAATCAATCACCCCGCAACTATATAATAAGGCACAAATCTGGCGGAAGAATAACCTGTTTGACTTCCGAAAGTTCCATTGCGTAAATTGATAAATCCTTTAATGTTTCGCCCACACACAAGAAGGACCTAGAAAATGGAGAATGGTAAAGGGTATAACCGTATGTACAGCTGTACAGTGGGGCGTGACACAATGACACAAACACGGCCATTGGGATATGGGTGAAATCAACTTTCGATTTCGTCGAAATAAATCCACTTTACAGATTGAGACGACTGTGGGACGTGAGGACATGGGGGAATTTCAATTCCTTCTAAGCACGACGACGGGGACAAACTCATTGAATGAGGGCGAAGACAAAATACGTGCACTGCGACACAGCTGCGTTCAAAAGAATAGCCTACAAATATCTAAACACGGATAATAAAAGATTAGTTTTATAAAAAAAAATGTAAATATTATAAAATGAATAAAAAATGTGTAAGAGTTGTTTATTTCATAAAACAGGTAGGGTAATATTACATTCAAAAATCTATTTTACCAACTAAAAGTATATGTAGACTTTGGTTAATAAAAAAACAATCGAAAACAATAGGAAATAGCTAATTAAATGACAAAAGCTGTATTCAAATAGAGGGGGCAGGATGTTGTGCACAAATAATTGAATTCATCAAAGTTAACTCGCACAATTGCGAAAATACTTGAGCCACAGCTACCGCCACCGCCAATGCCTGAAGCTCTTAAGGCTTGCTGCCAACATTTGTTCGGGCTTAGTTCTGAAAACTTTGCTTTGCTCTGTGTGTGTGATTGTGTGTGTTCGTTTCCTTTGATGACGGAGACAGCGGCTAAATTCGGCTAAAAGAATGGCGTACAAAAAGATTTGCGAATTGACAAAGTGCAAGTAGGTCCTGGGGCACGAACATGCCAAATGAACGGGTAGGCAGAGGACAGCACCTCATAAGCGAGCACGTGTGTGTGCGAGTGCCTTTAAGGACATCCCCAGGCGGGCAACGAAAGGCGCACAGGCGCTCGCACACAGCTACAAACAACTCGAAAATCCATGTCAGTGTCACGTAGCAGAGTGTGCCCAAAACAGGAACAATAACAACATCACCACCACCGGCAGCCAAAAGCAGCAACAAAGCCATATAAAACAACAAGAGGGTGCTCGAGACGATAAAGAAACGGATACTGTCAATATGACTAAACCTAGATACACTAATAGATTTTCTTTTTGGAATAAGGACAAAGCCTAGATTTACTAATAGATTTTGTGGGAGTTCGGAATAAGCCCAGATAAAGAAATCAAGGTCTGGTGTGAAGGAATCCTGGAAGGTAAATATAGAAGGTTAATATTTATAGGAAAAGTGTTT